TGGATGCAGTTCTTAATTTGGTGACTTAATTCATGAAATTTTGATGGACTGAAACATTGTAAATCTTCTGGCATATATGCTGAACTTTTAATTTGTCTAAAGATCGTATTGTGTTTTGTTTCTTACGAGTTCTTGTAGGCTCGACAAAATTTTTGAATTTGTTGATTGTGTTTAAGTGGTTTGCAGACTGACTGCTATGTCTGTGATTGTTTTTGGAAATATTTCATTTTAATCTGAAGATTTGTTCATTTAATTCGTGGATTAATTTTTTGAGACTAAGTTTCAATCAAAAGATTTAAGTTTATGATATCGTGTGAAGGACTAAACCTTTTAAGTTTAATTTTAATTCAAAAAGTCAATCTTAATTCAATTTGAAATTAAAATTAAATCCAATTCTTCCAAATTCGCTCTCAACAGTCAACCTTAAAATGAATTCAGTCACTAAATTCCCAAAAGCAACTCGCAAGTACATCAAAATAAAACAAAAATGAATAATGATCAAGGAGTTTGCGTGCCTTAAAAAGTTAAATTAACAGTGAGAAAATGTCAAGAAATGTTTCCGGAACTTGGAAATATTTTTTCATCCTGTATAATAGAATTAATCAGTCATAATGTTATTGAAAAACGAAAATAAACTCTTAATTATAAAAAGAATGTTCTTGTTAAAAAAAAGTCGAAAAAGAGAAAAGTCGATACAAATTATTTTTTCATAATAGGTTCTATCCAATAATACAAGAAAAAAAGATGATAAACTATAATGTTAATAATATTGCAAGAATTTGTCTAATACAAGTTTTAAAAAAAATTAATGTTAAGGAACCAACAAGCATAGTTTTTTCACAATTTGGTATATACAATTAAAAACCTGAAAAGTGCTAGACATAATTGAAAATTACACAAAATGAGAGATCTTGAGTGAATTAGTATGAAATGCATCACATTAATTTCTTTAAAATTAACATTATAATTTGCAAAAAAAAAACAAATCTTAACACAATTAGGATATAGCAAGAATGAACCATTAAAATTATTAAACAAAAAGTTACAAAAAAAAATCTAATTCGAAAAAAAAATGAAAAAAATCTGTAAAATTCAAGATGAAAATAATTGCAATAAAATAATATTAAAAATAATAACGAGTCACAATGATTTTTGAAGATTTTTGTCAGGAGGGTCTTATTTAAGTTCCTAGGTGTTGCACCCCTAGCTTCTCAAATTAGAAACTTTCCTGACAATCAACCCGTATATGCTATATATTTTATGTGTACACACCATCACCAGATGAATGAATGTAATATTATATGTAGTCTTAGTCATTTATATCCATTGTCAAGTCACGTACTAACATAACATTAAAATATTTTTTGTATTTTATAGATTTGGACTCAAATGCATCATCAACAGACAAGAGGCGAGTCAATAAGCAGGATTATGAGCAATATTTAGAAGATGGTTACTATAAGTGTCCAAATGAAAACTGTGATCGAAAGTATGTGATTTTGGGTTGTTTGCACATGATGTCTCGTTAGTTGTGCAGTCAGTAGTTCCCACATTCTATCAGAATATCGTTGATTCAAACGAAATTATATAGCTATGGATCATAGGTACTGTCAGACCTTAGATCCCTAAGAAAAGTGATTTAAGATAGATTCTGAGCTTATTTTAGCAACAAAACTTAAATTTTGGAATTTTGAATCGTCTATTGCTTCCTAGGTTCTAATAACGTGTCTTACCTACTCCATTACAGCATTATTAGTTCAAAAAGTTTCATAGCATCCCTTTGTCCCTAATTTATTGACATCATTCGTGAACAGCCCCCAAAACTCATTTACCCAATCGAACATCTTCATAACATTTGCCATTTTTTCATCTTCAGATACCAAATTAAGCATTCGCTTGTTAGACATTTAAGACATGAATGCAATTTACGTGGAAACAATTTTGCATGTCCATTATGTCTGAAAAGATTTACTCATGGATTTAATGTCTTACGTCACTTACAGCAAGTTCATAAGCTGACATCAGAAGAAGCTCATATTGAATACGGAAAGACACAAACGGATAATAATGATTTAAAACTGGAACTAATTTGAATTATGATGAAAAATTGTTAAAGAATTAAAATGTTTTTTATGTTCAAAAACCTAGAAATGAAAAATGGAAAAATATATTTTGAACTTTATGATAAAATTTTTTATAGAAACTTTGAAATCTAACAAATGTAGAACTTACTTTGATATTCGTAGCCTTTTACAGTACAAAGTCATATTAGAATTTTTTTTAAAAATGTATTAAGCACTTTTAACCGTATATTAATGTGTTTCATATTTATTCTATTTTAGGTGACCTTACAGAACCAAAAATTATGATAATGAATGATGGAGTTCGCTATTGCTGTAGTAGATGCGGAGTCAAGTACAAAAAGGGTAATAGAATGTCATCAATTATTGAAGGAACAAAGGAAATGATGAGCTTATGTCGATTGTTTGGTCATTGATCTTGTGATTTTTTTGAATATTAATCTTTGATTTAATGGTTTAAAAAATTAAGTCAAGCTTTTAGTCTCGAGATTTAAATTTAATCCAACCTTAAATCTTTGAATTCAGTTTTAAATTAAATGCATCAGATTATTATTCAATCACATGATTTAATCCAGCACAATCCATCTTAGTGAAAGCATTTCTTCTTCCATTCAAATCCATAAAAACTCAAACTTCATTCCTATCCTTCTCCAGTATCAGCCCTACGATCTCATCAACGTGAATGCGGTATTGGAGCTCAATGTCCAATTTGTCTCCGTAGTGTAACTCAAAGACGTAATCTCGGAAAGCACATGGAAAAGCACAAACGTGACGGAACATGGATTTTAGAGGATTTTCCTAATGCAACTTTAAAGACTATTATTAAACAAGAAGATCCAATTGATTTTTAATTTTGTTGTTTGATATACTCTTTTTTGAAGATTCTCATTAAGCCAATAATTTGAATTTTAATAGCTCAATTTGTGATAAGGGGTTGTTTGCTTATGGTGGGCTATTGAATAGTTTTGTACCACTTTTTAAACTTCATCTATCACCGACTTTAGTCATCTTCAACTTTGTTTAACGCTGAGTTGACTTCAATCTCTGGGATTAGATAGAGTGGGTCTAAAAATTCCTTAGACGTCATTTGTGAACGACCTCTAATGAGCTCGCAGGTTTTTTTTTACATAGCATAAATTTTTTTAAAATTCAATAAATGCAAAAATACAAAATGTTTATTTTGGATGATCTCATCCTTCAACTTGAATTTATTTAATATTGTTCCTTAATTATTTTGTAATCCTGAAATTTTATAATTTTTTATTTTTTTTTGACCGTGTGTGTTTGTGTGTGATTAATATTAGCTAATAATATGCTTAACACAGCAACTGTTTGGTAATGTTTTCTGAAAAACAAAAAGACATGCTCCCCGTGATTCAATCCTAATAATTGTTTTGTTTCTGGATAAAATGTTAGGTTTATGGCCCTATTTTGGTATAGATGATTTTTTTGCGACCAAATTACTGCAACGAAAAAACGGGCAAGACTTTCAATGCTTTAAGTGTGGCAGATGGTATTCAACGCGAAGTATAATGCTGAGACATCAAAATCATGGTTTGTTATGTTCCTTTCATATCCATAAGAATTGTAAATATTAAGTCACTACTTCATAAACTATGTCCTTCATTGCAGAATGCGGAGTGGAGAAAAAGATTCAATGTAAATTATGCTTTAAGAAATTCAGACGCAAATGGAACCTCGAACAGCATCAAAAGCGCATTCATCGTAAACATTTTACAGATGATGATCATGACCACGAAACTGTTATTAGATATGGAAATGAGAATGATTTAAATACTAGTGAAAAATCAAATTCATAGGATAATATCAAGTCACTAATTAATTAAGTTGATATATTTTTATACGTAAATGTTTCTTTTTTACGAACAATTGTTCCCCGTGTTAAGGAACGTACTATTTATTGAACTGTCTAACTCATAAACTTATTTTCATATGGGCTTCAATTTCTTTCGATTTATGGATGGACGATAACTCACTAGTCAATAGATTAAACTTGATTCAAATGCAATAGTATTTTAGATTTTCATAAAAAGTATATTCAGTATAGAAAGTTGCAAAGTTGATAGCTTTAAGTAATTATTTTGGTAATCAGGTTCTTATTTTACACACTATGATTCTCCATTTTGTCTTCATTCTCTATCTTTAATAGAATTAACCTTTGAAAGACTAATTGATATCCTTATCAAAATTTACTTTGCGTGACGTCCTTAAATATTAGAATTATCAGAACCATCAGCTTTCTTTAAAAACTATACCATTCTTCCTCCTAAATTATGGTCAAAGCTTTCGGTATATCACTATAGATCCATAATAAAAGTTATTAATGACTGGAACTGGTCTGAATTAAGTCTAACAATGGCTTGTTCGTTTTAGGGAAACGCTATCGTTTGCCAGTTGAATTTAAAGATCAGAAACTTTTTCTTGACACTTTGTTGAACTACCGATGGCTCCTAGTTCAAAAAGCTTCTGTAACCTTTAATATAATCACTAGAACCATCAAATTCAACAAATGTGCTGTATTTAAATACTCGAGTTGTCTTCATTTATAGGACATCCCCATTAAAAAAAGTAAAATGTTGCCATATACTCAAAATATTCATTTTATACAAAATCTTAATGTTCCAAAATACCCCTCAAGTTCCATCAAGAAAGAAATCTCACATCCCATATGAAGCACAACTTCTAACGATTTTATATAATACAGAATGTATTTTTACATACCTAATATCAAAAGAATGCAGAACTATATATTTTTGAATTAATAATTTATTATCAATAGAGAATAATTTAATTTTTAAGATATGAAAAAAAAACATTTGTGTTCGTGAGTTGTAACAAGGAAGGAATTATTTTTTATTTTATTTTACACAAAACTTAAAACTTAGTAAGGTTTCTTTCATGCCAAAAATTAGTAAGTAAATTATCTGCAAACGCCAAAAATGATTTTTTTTTCTGTTTATTTTACAATTTTAATAAAGCAATTATAAAATTTAAAGGTATCTTCATTTCTAGTCATGTCATTTTGTCTAAAATAGATTGAATTCGAGGTGGACACACTTTTTAAGTATTTGTTTGACTTTAACTATAATATGGATGCTTAAAATCAAGACTAAGCACTTTAAGAACGTAGATAAAGGAACCTCAAGTTGGCTGGGCTCTCTGGACCTAATCTAAGAATTTTTTAAAACTGTTAAGGTTCCCAGCCTCCTCGAATAATGTCTGTCGACATACCCTGAACCACTCAGTCAACTGTTCTATATCAGCCATTGTTCAAATATTCACACATTGTTTTTAATTATCAAAACCTGCTGATGTTCCTAATCTCAGTCAAAGAAACTATAGAAATTAATTACTAATAGCCCAAAAATAATTAAGTAGAAAATATAGTCATTTCAGTCAGCACCTAATAGATTTAGATTATCTCTTTACATGAAAAAAGGGTTGGAAGTGCTTCCTTAAATCGTAGATAATTAATTCTTATTCTTAGCATGGTAAGACATACGACGAAAAGCTTCAAATATTTGTTCCTTAAATCGTAGAAAATATCTTTTGTATACCGTAGATTAAATGTCTCGTAAAGTTCCTTTAATTGGTCCATAAATGTCAATCTTTATTTAAATCTCTTCTTCACTTTCAGTCGAGACTGTAAATTCTGATGACAATGAAGTTATTGTTAATAATGTGATAGAAGCTCAGGAAATGATGTCTGAAGTTTATTCGATGCAAACGACTGATTCACAAATAGATGATAGGAATGAAAGTGTGCTGGAAGCGGAAACGAGAGGAATAGACTTTAAGGGAAATGTTAGATATTTCTGTCCACGATGCAATGTTCGATATATAGGTAAGGGATATGGATGTAGATTTTTGCATAGGCTGAATTTGTCATTTAGAAACTTGAGTTTAATCTTCAGATTAAAAGTTAATCCAGAGTTTAATCTTACCTACCTACTACAAATTCAGCTTTATTTCCTCTGCAATTCCAACAAAGCATCAACTAATAATTCAAAATTTATTCAACAGAATTTAAATACCTGAAAACTCACTTGAAAGAATGTGGAAATGTCCACAAATGTGATGAATGCCAACAAAAGTTCAAGCAGAAGCGTACGTATGTCGCTCACATGAAGAAGAAGCATGGAGTTCTGGCAGGTGCCAATCAAAATGACAGCATTCCACTGAAATCGCAACATTATGTGCTCAGCATATAAAGCTAGACCAAAAACACTCATTCTTTCTTCCACATAAAATTTCTGAATTTTTATTTTATTTTCTTTTGAGATTCATTCAATAAGATGCAAAAAGAAGATGACTGAATAAATGATTGTGTCTTTAAATTTTTGTATAACATTAATAAAACATCTCGAATTTCAGATCTTAAGATAAACAACATCCATAATTGCAAGTTATTGGTATATTTTTTTTTTTTTTTGTAAAAGATGCCTAAACATTTTCTATTAACAGAGAGATAAACTTTAGATACATAGCACTATCGTAAATATTTATAAATGTTTCGGATCAAAGTTGCAAGGCTTGATGCTGTTTTTTTGGAATTAAAAATTAATATTTAATATTTTATAAATCCTCAGGATTAAAAAATAGATCTTCAGATTAAAATTAATCCTTGGATTGAAATAAATCGAATGACTACTGCTAGTGTATATCTATTGAATAATAAGTGAGGATATGGAAAATACGTATTTTACTAGTAAGTTGCCAAAAAGACGTTAGAATATCAATGCAGCCACAAACATTGCAAAATCAATCCAAAAACATTTCTTTATCATGAATTAAACATTTTTTTTTTCAGACTAGAAGGAATAGGATCTCATAAATATATTTTGTTTAGTCAAGAGACGAGTAAGATGATCTATGTTGCTTCGCAACAAAATGTGATTCCGTAATTGAATTACGATTAGTTGATAAGTAGGAAATGCAGTAATTATTTAACTCGAAATTCGTCTGAAAGTTATCATTACTTGTTTCATAACACGCAGTTGTTATCTCACTCTTCCGCTTGGCGATCGCAGATGAGAACGAATGTAACCTGTTGGGTTATAGCAAGGATTTAAGGATCAGTAAGAGGCTTAAAATCCGCAAAAATAAAAAACCGTTAAATTTTGATTTGAATTAAAAAAGTTCAAAAAAGTGCGGGAGTTTTATGACAATTTTGAGGCAGTTTTAGAAAAGATTTATAAATTTTTTAAGGATAGAAACAAAAACCGTTAAAACAATAATTTAAATTCATGAAGATTCTAAGAAGAGCGGAGAAAAAATTCAAATTCAAATTTAACGGTTGAAATTGAACTTTCTCACATTTAAAGTATAAAAATTACCAGTTGTGCTCAAAAGTGCTCTTGCTCTGTCAACTCACCTGTTCTGTAATCTATTGGGCCCGTAAAAATGTGATTCTCGTTTCTTGAATGACTCCATCTAAAAGAGAAATGAACCGATAAGAGCAAAAAATTGCCAATAAACACATAACATCCAAAAAATAGACATCGACAAAAAAAGACATTCAGTAAGTGACATGTGTGAATTATTTTCATTTCAAAAAAAGGCTTTGAAGGTGAAAAAAATCTTCAAAAATATGGTTAATGGAATTAAATTGTAATGCACAAGTAAAAAAAGAAGAGAATTATTGGCTTATGCTGATTTATAAAAGATACGATAAAAGGAATTTTAAATTTTTAAAAAAACATCTACAAAATAAAAACTTGCAAGGAACAAAAATCTTACCTCATAGTTGTGCAAAAATTATTAAAATTTTTTATTTAACTTTTTTTATGAACATTTATCTTGATGCTGTATGAATAATGTCCCGTCTATTGCAAAAGTTAGGCCGGCTACGAGTTAAAGGAAATACGTTCAAGATACGAAAGAAGAAGAAGAAAATAGTTTATGGAGAAGAAAGATTGTAAGAAGTAATAGTAAGTAGAGATTATGATGAATTAAATTTACTACTCAAAAACAATAAGATTAACAAGCATTTGAGGAGTCGTTCACTAGTGATGTGAATTTAAAAATTTTAATTTATTCAAAGACCCTTTCTTGTCTCCTCATCTTCTTCTTAGCCAGCAGAGGCTGGCTTAGAGGACTATGCAATGTGCCTTAACCTAGTCACATTCCAATTCAAGGAGCTCAACAGAGATCCTTAGGCTTAGAGCATCTTAACCTAGTCACATTCCAATTCAAGGAGCTTAACAGAGATCCTTAGGCTTAGAGCATCTTAACCTAGTCACATTCCAATTCATTGAGCTTAACGGAGATCCTTAGGCTTAGAGCATCTAAATAGCCATAAAAATTGATAGAACTTCCCCGAACCCCAATCTTTTAAAAATGATTTTTTACTCCCCTAATTTCAGCTTTATCACAGGACCTAGTTTATAAGTGCAACCTACCATTTCATAAGCATTAGGCAGAGGTCGAAGTCGATGAAGCAAACTCACTTCACTTCACTAAAATTTCAATCGGTTTCAAGTCAGCTCGAGTGAACTCATTTTTTTCGTGTTCACTCGAGTCGACTTTTAACCGAGTTGATTTTTTCATGTTCACTTTAGTTGACTTTTAACCGAGTTGATATTTTCGTGTTCACTTTAGTCGACTTGAAACCTACTTGATTTTTTCGTGTTCACTCGAGTCAACTTTTAACCGAGTTGATTTTTTCGTGTTCACTTTAGTCGACTTGAAACCGACTTGAGTTCACTAAGGAAAAAACAATGTAATATACCAAACTGATTTCTGCTAGTACTTGTGAAGTATATGTGATTACATACAAAATTGCAGAATTTGTCCTTTTTTACTTTTCATAACCATAAAGCAAACTAAACGAATTAATTTAAAATATTTTTTAGATTTCATATATTTTATAAATGTTTTGCACTGTAGATTATTTTTCTGATTTGAAAATAATTTATTACGAACTGCTACAATTATGAATGAAATTATTTTAATTCACACCATATTTCCAAATTTGGTGAATATATTTTAATCTCATATTTATTTGTTTGACAACATTGATATATTGATAAGTGCACTGAATGAATCGTAAATTCTATTTTTGTTCTCACTTGTTTTTAATTTCACCATTAAATATAACACTTCTTTAATTATAGAGTTAAATTTCTTTAAGGTACAAACATAAATAATGAAAAAAATTTAAAACTTGAATTATAATAAACTGGAAGTTTGAAAAATATTTTGAATTAATTCGTTTAGTTTGCTATATGGTTATGAAAAGTAAAAAAGGACAAATTCTGCAATTTTGTATGTAATCACATATACTTCACAAGTACTAGCAGAAATCAGTTTGGTATATTACATTGTTTTTTCCTTAGTGAACTCAAGTCGGTTTCAAGTCGACTAAAGAAAACACGAAAAAATCAACTCGGTTAAAAGTTGACTCGAGTGAACACGAAAAAATCAAGTCGGTTTCAAGTCGACTAAAGTGAACACGAAAATATCAACTCGGTTAAAAGTCGACTAAAGTGAACATGAAAAAATCAACTCGGTTAAAACTCGACTCGAGTGAACACGAAAAAAATGAGTTCACTCGAGCTGACTTGAAACCGATTGAAATTTTAGTGAAGTGAAGTGAAGTGAAACGACTTCACTTCACCAACTTCGACCTCTGGCATTAGGTCCTATTAGGAAAAAAATCTCTCGGAGTAGACTAGAATAAGTTGTCTTAGTTAATAATTTGCCTTTAGAACCGAGCTTAGATACCAACACTAGTTTGACGTACCACACCCAATCTGAACAACATTTACAGCACATCATAAGTGAACAACCCCAAAACTCATAAAATGGTAAGCAATTCTCTACGAAGGAGGAAGGTCTATCCGAAAGAAATATAAAACTCTTTACTTGAACTTTCTTACCTTTGAAAATTAATAAATTATTTTACTAATAAAATGATAAATTAGGCAAAGGTAAAATTAATAAATTCACAAATCATTTCGAATTGCTTGAAAATTCTTACGGAACTTTCCAGTTTGAACTTTTTCTTTTAAATTTTTTGTAAATCATCAAAAATTGAAATTCATTCTTAAAAAAATTATGAATTTAAAAATTATTCAACTCATTTTCTATGCAGAAGTGCAAAAATTCTTCAAACACATTATCAAAAATCTAGTAACTTTAAAATTAAAACTTTATAAATCGATCTCACTCATTGAATATTGTTTATTTAAAGTCTTTTGATGCTTTATGTCAAATATTCTTTGATTTAAATGTTTAAAAAAATTTCATTGATGATATTGAACGTCTATCTCGATGATTTGACCTATATTGACTCTATTGTACTTAAATTTATAATTTTATTTCTTTATAAAAATCAACGGTTATATAAAATTCATAAATCAACGGTCATAAAATATTTAAATTTCTGCGTCTTTGAATTCGCTTTTGCATTTTTTGGCAAGTTATTTTAAATTTTCGACCGTTAATTTTCATTAAATATCTATCAAGATTCAACTTATGTTTGGCAGCCTTACAACTTGTAAATTACACCAGAACTTTTTCTATATTTATCACTATTACTTAACAATTTTCCCGCAGTGATTACGCAAGCCAACTTTTAGTAAAAAGCAATATGCTCAAATCATAGATTCTCTTGCCAAATTTTAATTTATCGATGCCTGTAAACAATAATTTTTAAAAAACAAGCTTTTCGCTGTCATCACATGGCTGTCTTTAATTAAATCAAACAAAATATTTTTGGCACTGAAATTCAGCCTTGGCGACAAGCAGTTCCGTTTCATATGCTGAATGAATAAACAGCGAATCTATCGCATGTATATAAGCTTTATATCATCAATGATTGAGTTATAAAAATTAGCGTGAAGATCACACGTGATCAGCCTAAGAATTCCTTAAGGCATTAAAATATTGATGAACATCTACGCGTTATTAATGGTCAAGGTTAAAAAGCATCGACAATCGTGTGAGATCAATAAACTTGCAAAGTTCAAACAAACCACAAAAAAATTGCAAATTCAAAAAGAAATAATTTTTTTTAAAAAACTCAACAAAACTTCTACATTACCAAAGAACTATGTCTAATGAATTAAACTCACCTCGCACTGTGGCCTAACAAAATCAAATTTCTGGAAATATAAAATTGAAAAAGATATTTTGTCGATATTTCTCTTTTGTTACGATATATCCTTGGTCATTAAAATTATTGATTGATTTGGGAACTAAAGGAATACTAAATTTGAAAGTTTTTGGTTGCTATTGACAGAACTTTTATGACTTATTGTTATAAAATACTTAAAATTTTTGTACTAAAGCTTAATTTCAATATCTCAATTTAAAGTTCTAAAGCTCAATTTCAAGTACGAAAGTTCAATTTTGAGTACTAATGCTAATTTTTGATTACTAAAGCTCAGTCTTAAATGCTAAAGCTCAAGTTTAAAAACTAAAGTTCCATTTTTAGAACAAAAACTCAATTTTGAGTCTACTAATGTTCAATTTTATGCTCTTAAGTTCAATTTCAAGTACTAACGTTCAATTTTTAAAATTAAAGACCAATTTTGAGTATCAAAACTCATAATCAAGTAACAGTTCTGTCCATAGCTGTCAATAATTAATAATAAAAAAAGTCATCCAATAAAATAAAAGAATTGTAATAAATTTTCGACACACTACATTCAAAGATACCAAAATCGAATAGGAGCTTTAAAAACCAAGAAAAGAATGAGAAGAAGCAAATCAACTTCAATCTACTTTAATGGAAAATTCAAATTGTGAGCATATCCCAAACGACTTATGTTGTGAATAGCATAGATTCTAAAAATATGTGCTCTCTTCAAATCAGCAATATACGTTTGGTATTAAGGTTCAACAAGCTGCTTATAGGAATATTAAAAAGGGTACGAAACGAAAAGAATCTGAAAAGTTTTATATTTTTTTTGGAAATAAACACAAAATAATATTGTGCAAATGCATTGAGAAGAGAAATAGACAGAAACAATAAAAATAGATGTGTCAAGTTGCGATTTTCAATTTAGGCGATTCCACGTGCTCTTGAGCTTTCACTTCCAAACAGTTTCAAACTATTCTAATCACAACTTTAAAAGCTGTAGATGGAATAATAAATTAGAAAATGATTACCCAATGGATAGTCTCCAAAAATATATTTGAAAAAGGGTTTTTATATAAATTTAGCATATTAGGTAATTAAATTGGATATAAATTATAACATGCGCATTTATGAAGGTATGATTAATATTTAAGATTTTAACTCGTTTAGGATTTATTTATTTGATCTTGCTGGTCGAAGGTTTCTTTTAAGATTAAACATTGAAGCTTATTAAATTAAATTCAATAAAACTTATGAAAGTTCAAATTTTTGAACTTTAAGTTCAAAATTAAAATTGCTCTTAAAATTTCAAAATTTAAAAACCGTTAAAATTTTCAAAATTCAAAACCTTATATGCTGTTTTACTGAAACAGTTTCAGTAGAGCTTCGGCATCTAATTCGACCAGACCTGTAGTTTCATAAAAGTAACCTCACATCCCAAAAAATCAAAAAACATTTATCAACCATAAAATGAAACTAGTAAGTGAAAGTTATAAGGTCCGTTCCAAGACTTTTCATATAATTTGCATCTAAATTAACCATTTAATAATTGATTGTGAACGAAATTCGTTAAGTGGAATCACCCGTCTATTAGGAAGATTTAAGAGAGAGAGCTTTGGAGTGATAAAAGCTCAATAAATAGTTCATATGAAAACATTTAAAAAGGTAAATTCTTCTACGTAAAAACGATAAAATTATGCCAATTAAAAAGATTTATTGTGAAATGCTTGTTTTGTTCTGGATTGTCAATCTCAGTATTATTGTTATTTTTTCTTATTAATTTATTTGATATGTTGCATACCGAATGATGATATTCGTGGTCATAAAGGCAACAACATTGATGACGCAAAAAATATCGACCAGATTTTCTGTTTAGGAATTTTATGAATTTTTTATCAGTTCGTTAATTTTATTTATTAAGATGAAAAAATGGAAATGATGAATTAACTTAATAAAATAAAAAAATATTCAATTTTAAAAGGAAAATCTCTTTTTTGAAATAATTTTGATTTATTTTGCTCCGTTGAGTAAAATCAGCTTAAAATCATCAAAATTATTTTCCATAAATTTATTGAGATTTTTCACAAACCTTAACAGCCGTGTAATGTAGTCTGGCCAGTTATTTGGGAACATCACTAAGAAAAATCCGACAGATATTAATATTATGCCACCAAGCTTCATCCCGGCAAATTCAGCACCTTTTAGTAGGGAGAAATTAGATATTTTTAAATTTTTGATAAAAATTCGAGGTTAAAAAACTTAAATTGAAAAATAACGGTTTTTTAAAATTCAAATGTCCATGAGAAAACCACAAAATTGACTTAAGCCTTGATATACAAAACTAGCTTTTTTAATTTCTGGTACTGGGTAGGGTTTGTGGAAAACAGCTGTTTTTGAAAAAAAGTCTCTCTAAGATAATGAAACTTTTTGGTGGTTATAAGCAGTTAAGCATACATTATATAGCTAAGCATTATTATTTCTTAATTTTTCGTTAATTAACTCTATAAAATATAATGAATACCTATAAAAATTCAAAAAAAAATATTTATACTTTTAAGAAACATTGCAAAAGTTCCATAAACTCTAATATTTTATTTGAAATATTCAAAAAAATCTTTGTAAACAAAAAAATATCTTGCAAAATTGTTGATTATATTTTTGAACTTTAGTAAATGCTACAAAAGGTTCAACAAATTTAAAATTTCGATTGCAAAATTAATAATGATAAACCATAACTTTGATAATGATTTCAAACCTATTAAACATCCAAAAAAATTTAAAATAGTATATATAATGTGTGAAGGGCCCAGCCTTTCAGCTGGAGGCACTGCGATTCAAATTAGAACAGAATCTATTGTACCACACCCTTTAGACCTACAGTTTATAGTGGGATCCGAACCACTTGCAAGCTCTGTACATTGCAAAGACACGAGTACGTCATAAGACCTGATGTACCCTGCAATGTACCTAGTCACAATCCGTGTGCGCAAGATGCCGTAAGGAAGTCATCCAGATGCTAGTATATCCTTGTATACCTAGCAAAGGAGGCATATTCTATGCCAAAGACATCAATACTACACCCAACACACGAACCGAGCTTCGTAACTAGAACGGTGAAATGGAAAAAGAGCTACGAAAATTAAACATGGCCTGGGATTGAACCCAGGACCTTTGGTACGTAAGGCCAACGTTCTACCATTTAGGTCACTAGTAAATACATTTCAATTTGGAATTCTAGAAAACTATATTAAGTTCTTCAAAAAGTTAAGAAAATTTTTTTCTGTAAATTATATGTAAAAATGAAAAACAGAAAACAGATCTGTTTTTGAGACCTGTTTTCTGTTAACAGATTTTTGTCGAAAAACAGCTGTTTTTCTGTTTTCTGTTAACAGGTTCCCCAAACCCTACTTCTGGAGAATTTAAATCACAGAACTTATTTTAATGCACGAAAATATACGATGATATTACCCATTCTTTATGCCACAAATAAATACCAGTTATGACTTCAATCCCACCATAAAAATTAGATTAACAACCCCAAAAATCACATTCTCTCAAAGTCTACAGATTTAAAATTCTAAATTATTAAGTATGAGGATGTTACCATATAGCAAAATGTCCAATGCTGCATATATAGAAGAGAAAAAAGAGGAAGGAAGAATAAGCTTTAATCAAGGATTTTGAATAAAATATGAATGTGATTATTACATGCTGAAACGGGTACGCTTGTAATGAGACCTAATGTTACGAACATTGTGTACGTAACAGCTCCGCTAAATTGTGTGAGCATGTGAAACATAAGCAAACAAGCACTGTAAATATATAAAGAATCTCATTAGCACAGTAAGTCAAATTAAAGGTTGATATTAGAGCACATTTACCTTGCTATTAATAGAGTTATCATGAGTAATAAATCAGTAGGAATTGTCTCAGTTTCGGAGAAGTAAAGGATCAGGCAAATTGGCCATAGTAAAATTAAATTAATAAATCCGATGACTGTAAATGTAAAAGCAATAGCTCCAATAGGCTGTGGATCACCCATCATCTTCCGAAACATGACACGAAACACAGCATAACCAGCGCCAGCGATTGTCGAGAAAACGACACTTGAGAGTGTCTTACTATCATTAATTCCATCCATATACGCGAGTAATGCGATTCCCGTGTCGACAAGTATAACTGCAACAATCTGAATAATTTTCATAAAATTAATATATGCATGCACGGATTTTAATTATGCACGACTGTAAATAAAGCTTATGTATAATTAATATACTCACTCTCACGCCAACAAATTGCTCATGAAGTATCACCCATGATAATAGATATATAGTCGTCACGTTGCTGGCAAATAAAACGATAACGTCTGTGGAGTAAAGGACTCGAAGTGACTTCATGTAAAGATAAGTCGATGCAACCCAGAGAAGACAAAATGAAATGCACCGGTAAATGTATCGACCGAATGTATATCCTCTCTCACGGAAACCTCTCAAAATATCACCAAATGTCTCATTATGCGCTCCACATTTTGACGCGATGCCACGGAACATTAGATAGATTGGAAAAAATAAAATTACGAAGTTTGTTGAGAACCAGGATGCGAAAAATGGTGCACGAAATTGCATTGGATCGGTTTCATTAAGTGACAATCTCACTCTTGAGGTTTTTGTGGTAGAATTTTCGTATGAGTCTTGGTATGTTTGGTACGGTAATGCTAATGTCTTTAATACAGATGAGGTTGTGTGATGATGCATAATATTGCTACTTCGAAATGTGGATGACAGTGAGTGATGAAGTTTTGTTGATGGTAAGAATAAGAATTTGAAACAGTGCGTTGTTCCGACCCAAAAGAATGTTATTAGGATTGTTACGCAGACTCCCAGATACATCTGTAAAGGACGGAACATAGAGATCGGTTTGAAATGAGGTTTTTGGTGAGTAACGTTCATAAAATATGCTTCTACATTCCCAAATCTCTCAGGTCCACAAAAATGGCTTTGAGAATGGAAATAAAACTTTTGGTTAAGAGATAACTGTAATTTTTAGTTTCAGTGACTTGACTAGTAGCTTCGAGGCTCCTTTTTATAATTCAAGGTCTGGTTTTTAAAACTAATCAGGTTAACTTTATCCTAGAATCCAGAATCGATGCCTAATACTCTGAGGTAGGAAATTGATTATCGATTCTAGGCTTGAGTACCCCCAAGATCCCAAAAAACGAGCCCCTGAGCTGCTTGGTAAATCCTTGGAACTAAGAATTACAGCTAGTTCTTAGCCATAAGATCTAGTTCCCCTTAACAGCGCTTGGTGAAGCATTTACATCCTTACTGACTCCCTATCCATCTAAATATGAAGTGTCACAAGTAAACAACCCCTCAAATCTTTTAAAGCATTCTTACCTTTTGAGCCAACTCCGAACAACACGACCCTTTACATCCTTTAGACTTTTCATTATCATGCTCATCTGAGACAGATCGTGGAAGTATATTCGAATGAATTTGTGTTAATGAGTTGAACTGATGATGATGATGATCTGAATGATCACCAATTATGACACCTGTAAGACTTTCGGCACCATCATGTTGACTACTCGTGATTGAGTCTGAATGAATAATTTGATTCAAGTTTCCTAGCTGTGATGGTCCATTGTTTGGCGATCCAGTCACCACAACTGATGGCGTTCTCACACGTTTTGGATTAAAAATGGCAGCGATTTCATTCTCACGATGAGAAGACTCATCATTTTGAATAACAATCATTGTTGGTTAAGAGTAATAAATTCCTCAAATGTTGGAGTATTATGACATATCGAATTTTTAAATCAGCACTGAAAAAGTATGAATTGAAATATCAAAAATATAATTGATATGCAGGCTTTCAAGATATGAAAGGTATAATCAAATTGTTTTCTGGAAGTGTGATCGACAACCATTTGGCGTGTAGTGTGGCTGATAAAATTGTGAAAAATTTTTTTTCAAAATTAAAAAGATTTTAATATTCTGAATATTCTTGAATTTATTTCAAAGTTATATTTTTAATTTTCATGAAGCTTGTCATGAATTACTTGAAAATAGAATACCGTTGCAGATTCTAAATAATATTTTCAAAATGTGAAAAAAAAAAACGTTTAAACAAAATTTTAAATCTCTCAAAACCGTTGAAAATTTCAAATCTCAAAAATCTTTAAAATAGTTCAATTCTCAAAAAACCGTTATAAATTTCAAATTTCAGAAAATCGCTAAAACTTTTTAAATTTTAAAGACCCAATTAAAAGCTGTGTCACTCTCAAAGGTTTAATTTTCAGCTATTACTATATTTTCCATGCCGTAAGTAGTTTTAATATATTTCCACCTCGCATGCTAATAATAAACAACTGCTCCAAGAGACTTAATATAAAAGTAATCGATCGATTATATTAAATTGTGCTTCGTAATTCACAAAACTATGTGGCTAGAAATTTACTCATTGTAAAGTCACAAGTAAAGGAATCAAGAATTCATCAAAAGCAGATTGTCATAATTATATATTAGTTTCATGTACTTTGGTCTTATATTATAAATAAATAATCGTTAATAATTACAAGGTGGATATGATGAATGAGGCATAAAGAAGATTTGACTAAGAAAAAAATGACCCAACAAACTTGAAAAACTTTATTTAGTCGCAAAACTTAATTCAAGTTAATAAAAAGCAGAAAATATCACCTGTCGGAAATGAAATTTCGAATAAAATATTTATTTTTTGTGAGTATAAGCCCTCGATGGTGTCACAAACATTTATTACTAGTAAGGCAGTGAGGCAGTGTTAACAATTCATGACAGAAATTTTATGGGAATTAAGATTTCAATACAACGAATTTGAGTTTAAATGAGTGTGATGTGAATCCATGTGAATAATTTAGTGGATTGAAAGGGTTGTCTAAATTTTAGATAGGAAGGGGTAATTTTTTGAATGAATAATAATAATAATGTGTGAAGGGCCCAGCCTTTCAGCTGGAGGCACTGCGATTCAATTTATAAAGAATCTATTTAACCATACCCTTTAGACATACAGTTTATAGTGAGATCCGAAAGACTTGCAAGCTCTGCACATTGCAAAGACACGAGTACGTCATAAGACCTGATGTACCCTACAATGTGCCTTGTCATAATTCATGAGCGCAAGATGCCGTAAGAAGGAAGTCATCCAGATGCTAGTAAATTCTTTTTATTTTATTTTCTTTTAAGAAGTCAAGCCTTTTCGCATCTGGGATAGTTCTAAATGATGTCCATTTAAAATTGAGATTTTAAGATCCCATATCTTTTAGCAAGCACCTCTAGAATTTAAGGGGGGAGGCTAAATTTTTTATAATGTTGAAATGTTCTGGAATTTATTTTATCCAAAAACCTAAGCAAGTTGAAAAAAAAATCGAAAAAGAGGGGGGGGGGGGGGTGTGGTAGTGATAAAAAAACCCCTTAGAACTACTAGAAACCTCTAGAAACCTGTCCCTGAACATCATATTCGAACACTTCATTCCTTTCCTATTCACGAAATTTAATACTTTTTGCAGTTCCAACTAATTTTTATTGTCAATGCCAAGCCATTCAACCAAGCTGATTATTCAAGGTAATGTCTCGCATTATATTATTCAATAGCAAAATCAAATGAAATTGATAAATTACTGATTAATTACTATCAAACAGCTTATACAACAATAGATTATTAAATCACAATTATGAGGGATTCATTAATACTATTGATGTTGATAACAATGCAAATGTACCTTTAGTTCATTATGAAAACATAATGAATAACAACATGAGGAAGCATGGCATTAAATATGTAAATATCGATGCCAATAAAGGAGGAATTTATGTAGCACAAGATGCTGGCATGAAAGACAATCGACAGTCTTTAGATAACAGAAATGAGATACTTCAACCATCAGAAAACACAGTTTATGGTACAACAATGAAAATATAACACAAGTAATCGATACTTAATGTACTTATCTATCTTGTAGAACTTTATACTCCACTCGTGAGCATTTATCGTTCGTATCCAGTGGATTTAAATCAACAACAACTCAAAAATGACATAGAACATCACTTGTTCGGGCCTGAACAAAGACGAGTGTTGGATGCACTCTTTTCAATTGAAAGTGTGCCTTTCCCAAATCCATTAATTTTCTTGTCTGAGCCAAGCCCATTACATCAACAGCAACATTCTAACGTAAACATTCCAACAAATAATTTAAGGAGGTTTTACTTTCCATCATTCGAACAAAGTTTTACTCCATCGTTTGGAAATAGTTATGGTGTGTTTCCTCAAAATGGAGGTTTTCCTTCCTTCCCTCAAAGTGATGGATTTTCCTTGTCTCAACAAAACGGACGGTTTCCTTCATTCCCACAAAATATAGGATTTTCTTCATTACCACAAAATGGGGGCTATCAGTACAAATCAAGCAATGGATTTCCTTCATTTCCACAAAATATAGGATTTTCTTCATTACCACAAAATGGGGGATATCAGTATAAGCCAAGCAATGGATTTCCTTCATTTCAACAAGGTGGGGGATATCATTCATATCCACTGACCGGAGGGTTTCCATCATCAACACAAACGAGAGATTTTCCATCCTTCTCACAAGGTTGGAACTTTCCTTCTTTACCAGAAATGAGTTTTTATTTTCCAAATTTGGACTTTAATTTTGCAGATATGAACAGTATGTTTAACTATACATTTGATCCCAAAAGATTCAAACCGGTAATTATTCAGGATTCCATGATGAAAGATGAAGTAAGGACTTTTTTAAGAATAGCTAAAGGTGTATCCATGACTCAGCAGTTAATCACCATTCCTTTAATGTCGATAAGGCTTTTGAAAAGAAATATCCACTCCCATAAAAAATATTTTTTGGATACACCCCTAGCTTGTGCATGCACGAGTATAATTCATAAAAAAAATTCATTACAGAATGGAAAAACACCAGATTTAATTCAAGTTGGCAACAATAACTTTAATATAAAATCCAGTACACAACATGGAATTGTCCAGGTTAATCCAAATTGGAGAAAGACCGAAATGCCAATCATAACAACAACAGAGTATCCAGATATTGATGAGACTTCAACATTACAGGATGAGACTACGACATTCTTGGATGAGTCTATCGATAGGATAGACGAAATTCTTAAAGAATCACTTGTGGGTAAATAACTTTGCTGATAAACGGAATGATTCACTGATAAAATTGATAATAAATTTACAACATGTCAATGCAGTTAATTCTGGGGTTTTTATTTTATTTTATTTTCGTTACGAAATTATTTCGCATGAAAATTGATTAAGACCTTCAAAAATGATCAAACTTTAATAAACTTTTGAAATTTGAGACATTGAAAAGTTAATAATATTTTGGTCACGTTTTCAATTTTTGTCAGATTTAAATGCCATCATGTAAGAGATAAGAAGAATAAATCAATTTTCCATGAAATAAGAGCAGCAGCCTCAAGTCCCTTTGAGAAGCTGGATGATTTATGGCTGTGTATAGTAATGAATAATTTACACCCAAAAAAGTCATAAAATACAACTCAATACATTAACTTGGTGTCAGTTTGATATGAAATTATTCATCAGTTTTTTGTTGTTGGAGCAAATTTTTCGTCTGATAATAAAGCTTAAGGAAAATAAATCCACAAATCTCAGCCGTGTGATATCAAATAGATAATGACTAAATTGTGATAAGTTACATAAAAACTGATTCAATACTTGAGTCACATTTAGTCTTCAATTAACGTTTGCGGGAATAAAGTGAAGGAAGAGAAAAGCTCTCGTACGTGTGTGAAAATGAAGGCGTTGATTTGCATAATTCTGTCATTATGTGCAGCAACACATGGACAAATCGATATACCGTGCATTCTAGGATTCTCTGACAATGAATATACGTGTAGATTGCCACAAGTGGATTTAGCACAATTCGATACTTTTGTAATCACGAGTGCAAATCACTTGCCAGGTCAAAGTGATGCAACGGTTGTGAGCTTTGTAAGTATTAACAACAACTTCCAGTATTTCCCGACAACGCACATTTCTCGATTCACAAACTTGGCAGCAATTAAAATTACTGGAAGTAACATTACGGATTTACCACCTCAATCCATTGCTAATCGTCCACTTTTGAGAAGATTGAACTTGAACAGCAACTTTATTTCCACAATTAGTCCACAAGCCTTTACAAATACTTTGGGAATCCAACAAATACTTATGATGTTTAACCTCCTTACAAACATTGACAATGCTGTCTTTGGACTTTTTAATAACCTATTTGAATTGGATTTAAGCTCAAATCTCTTCACAATGATTCCAGCAACAGCCCTTCAAACTAACAGAGCAATAACAGCTTTAAGTATGAACGGAAATCAAATTACTTTTATCAATGCAACATTTTTCGATCATCTTATTGAGTTGAGGAATTTTAATTTCCTTACAAATCCTTGCTACAGTGGTCAATTTGCCAATCTTCATACAGTAGCAGGTCGAGTTGATTTAAATACTAGATTAGCACCATGCTTTACACTTGGACCTCGTAGATTAACTTGTTCATTTGGTACAAACTTCCAAGGAGTCAATTTTGGACTTTATACTTGCTTGTTACGTGGAATTGAAGTTATTAATGTCGATGATCAAATTGAACTTGGTGGATTTCACGTAGCTGGAAATACAAATGCAAATGTTGAGCATGTATGGATTGATGCATCAAATGTCAGATACATTTTAAGTCAATCTTTCAATACATTCCCCAATCTTCGTCATTTACGTTATCAAGGATCACGTCTTGAATATATTCAGCCTGGAGCTTTCATAAATGCAACAAATTTAAATGAATTGACAATTTTAATGAATGCTATAAGAAGACTTGAAGCCAACACCTTCCAAAATGCGACCAACTTGCAAATCCTAAACATGTGGTTCAACAATTTAGAATACATCGATGAAGCTGCTTTTACTGGATTAATCAACTTACGAGAAATTCATCTTTATGATGGAAGATTAACCACTCTAGCTCCAAATACATTCGCTCCAGCACCTCAATTATATTTAGTAGAAATTGGATTTAATCAACTTCAAACGATTGATCATCGCTGGTTCGTACAGAATCCATTAATTGGTCAACTTATGTTCAACACCAATCAAATCGATGAGATTTTCCCAGCTATTGTAGACATGCCAAACTTGACAACACTTCGTCTTCGTAACAATGTCTGTATTGATAATGAATTTACTATTACACCTGCTAATCGTGAACAAGTAAGACTTGCCCTAGAGACTTGCTTCCTCAACTATCCATTGAGAGTACAACGCTTTACATTGGAATTAGAAGGAGACTTGGAACTGACTGATGACGATGGAAGGATCATTGTTCAACTCTAAAGCTATTTATGTCATCAAATTTCTTGCCTGCTTACGTTAATCCTCTGATATCATCGAAAAATATTTAAAGACACACATTTATCGAAAAATTGATAAAATTTGTGCTTCCTTCTGATAATTTTTTTTTTGTCTATATAAACCTAGATTGAAAGAAGATAAAGCAGTAAGTTTATACTGCATAATTTTTTGGGACAATATTATACTGTTAAACAGCTGAATTGCTAAATCAATAAAATATAATTCTAGTATATTGAATTCCGTCAGCAATGAAGGAAAATATTACTTTCTTTAATTTACATTTCTGAGGGATTTGACTAAATCCAGTTGTGTCTTTTATTGTAATGTTTTGTGCTTTGGTTTTATCATTTTGATTAAATTTCTATGTTGATGTTTGAGGTTATGTTCGCAAATTTACAGAAAAATGTTCGTGGAATTTTGCGTGTTCGAGTTTCATTCATATTTTTGCTGTTTTACTAGCTTTGTTGATGACTTTCTACAGTTTTTAACTAGTTCCAAAAAGGAAATACAGAAGTTCTAAATTTAAAAAGTTTAGGGGAGAATCAGCTAGCTTTCTTAAATCTAAATTATCCGGTAAAAATTTAAATTATTCTTAGAAAAACTCCAATAAGAATGAGTGTATGGCAACGTGGCAATAAGGATTTATTATAGTTCTTCCGAAACGGAAATGACAAAAACTATGTTAAAAGCTCGTAAACGAATTATGAGACAGAATCCCTTTCAAGTAAATATGCCGTGTTTTATTACCTTACAGCTACTCAAAAAGATAAAAAAAAAATCGATATAATAGCATTGAAAGGTCAGCGAGAATGGACTCGTTAGACAAGGAAAATTAATCACTCGACAGCACATGGCTTTGTAATTTTTTGGAAAGCAACCGAAAAATTGGCACAAAGTCAAACGAATTTTCAATGAATATTTTTAAAAGAAAATCTGTGATACTATGTAGCAGCCAGCCATAAAATCAATGAACTAATTTTTTGTTTGTGGTCATTAGACTTGTAAGAAAAAAGGATCGTAAAGGAAATGAAAAAGGTCCTGCCATGAATAGTTTTCCACATACTTTAATATTATTATTTCTATATTAGCGTGACTAATTCATTCATTCATAATTATTCGTGGATATATCTTGCGCATAAATCTAATTCCTATAACTCACCTTGATGCTGAAAATTTTCACTTTTCTTCTTAATTTCCAGCAACTTTCTTACAATTTTTGTGTAAATTCCATCAACATTAACTTTCGTCCTATTTATTTATTGTGTAACTTGAAACTTAATATGTCAGGTACTTAAACTACTTTTGGATACAAAAAAAAATATCACGGGAGGATTTCCTTCCTTTCTTCTACTTCTTACTGTGTCCACAAAAAGTTGTTTTTTTCACTAAATTTTAACTTGTTCCATTAACTTTAAACACTTTATCCTTGAATTTTAATTCTTGCATAATAACCTCCATTGATATTGAGTATAAAATTAACTTAATTAATAAAAATGCCACACCGCGACAATTTTTTTCATGTTCGATGAAAAGTTCGATTACAAATGAAAAGAGAAGAAAGAAAAAAATTGGTAAAGGCGCAAAGAAACGCATAAAGTCATTGCGCAAGTACAGAATCAAGGTGGAAAGAATAGAGGACGAGAGCACATGGCTGTGTTTACCAAAAAAAACTTTATTGCTGATTACATTAACTGCAATTTACATTTTGAATCCAAGTTGTTAAAATTTGAAGTCTGTTCGTGGGTTGTTGAAAGATTTTAGTGGGTCTATACAATTTTTCTATATTGTAATGATGTTGATACCAGTCAGAAGGAACCAAACAACCTCTACCAATCATCCAAAGACATGTCATTAACAATATCCTGTTGATCAGCTATAGACTCGTCATCATCCACTGAACTTTGGTCATTTTCATCTGAATCCATTTGTTTTTGCTTTTGTTGCTTGACATTTCCATTTTTCTTCTTATTATTTGTTTCTGCGTCTGAAAGCTCCTCATCATCGCTACTGCCTCCCAAATCTTCGCCATCCGAATAATCCTGACTGTCATCATCATCATCAAAATTATCCATGTCACTATCATCGTCATCAGATGGAAATAATTCAACTTTCTCATCTTTATCTTTAGATTTCTTTGTAGCTGCTTTCTTGTTAACTTTTGCAACTTTTTCATAATCCTCAATTTCCTCATCTGATGCTTCTTCAATATTTTCAACCTTAGCGACCTTTTGCTTCTTTTTATTAGTCTTTTGCCATTGACTGTATAGCACTTCAATAGGCGTCTGACCAGTTTTATGATTAATTTCCCAGCTCTTGATATAATTATCGTCATTAAGTGAAAATGTAATTTTTTGTCGCTCACTTTCAATATAATTTGAATGCTCAGTAATCTTGTCAGCTAGCACTTTCAATTCTTTTGCATACTTTAGACTTTTTGTTTTCTTAACAAACTGATTGAGTGACATTATAAATGGAAGAATTAAATCAGGAAATGCAATACTAGAACATTGATAATTTAAATATTCTAATGTTGTTCCATAAACTTGCTGAATTGTCTCGTCTCTAAACGCATTTTCATCTAAATGTCCTTTTTGTATACGCAAAATACACAAGAATGAGAGTGGTTTCATTGCCAATTTTTTGTGCTGTTGATTGAACGTTGTTGAATTTAAAACTTCAATTATGTATGGCAGAACAGGCACGAAAATATTTGTTGCTTTCGTTATATTAATTAAAATGTTAATGCAGTGGAATCGTAATGGGAAATATTGAGCACTCGATTTTAATTTAATGACTCCATTAATAATGCTCACTAAAGGATAAATCAATGCCTGCATTTTTGGTTTGGCGTCTGATTTTGATGACGTATTTGGAACATATGATAAAACATCGGCCCATAGCTTTAAACTGTTGATATATTGCCAATTATAAACTTGTTGATAGTGCTCTTTCTTCTGTAATATTGTAGCATTACGCAAATGTATGGCCAATTGACGTATGAAAAGAAAAGCATGTTGGTACGCGACATTCAAGTCGAGCAAGAACAGTTCTGTTAAAGAACGTCGCATAAAATTTATGGATGGTAGTGTATTTGGACTCACGAACTTGCTATTTTTTACATACTCCATATACATCGTTCGTAAGACTTGATTTAAATTTTCTGGTTGAGTCCTCGTTATTTTCAATATGCATAAAAAGGCAATAATTCTCACGGATTCTTCGTTCGTTGACCACAAATGAATTAATCGCTTAAGAACTGGTTTCGTTATGCTCTTAAAGGCGGTAAACATCGATGCAATTTGATGTAAATGCTTGAGGATGACTAACAATATGTTGTTGCTTGCGACCGTTTCCAATAGCTTGGTAAGATCAGTCAGATAAGATCGTAATGAATTTTTCAATTTACTGAATCGCTTACTTTTCTGAATTTCTTTGAAACTTGCTTTTAATGAAAGCTTGAGGCACTTCTTAATAGCCTTTTCCATGTTTAGCACGCACAATTGAACGATTCCGTTGAATATAGCAGCACCTTCTACTTTATATTGGGTAACTTTAACATTTGAATCTTCAGAAACTGAGATTAAGGCAGAATTAAATGCTTTAGTGACATTTCTAATAATTTCAGGTGCCACCTCTTCAGATTGGAGATTCTGTTCCCATTCTCTAAGCATTTTTAATGTTATTACATTCTTTGCTTTGACTTTATCATCATCTTCTGCTTCATAGTCACTTTCGTCACTAGCTACTTCTAATTCCATTGGAACATGAACATCAGTGGTGCTCTCTTCGAGTTCCTCTTCATTATCTGATTTGTCGCTTGGATCATCATTCAGATTCATTGTAAAATTAAGCAACTTTTTATCATTTTTCTCTAAGAATTCATATAGTTCTGGATCTGTTTTGTCTAAATTCTTTAATGATACTTTTGGTGCCTTTCCATTTAGATCCTTCTTCTTGACTTTATCCTTTAATGATACTTTTGAAGCCTTTCCATTTACTTCTATCTGCTTGACTTTATCCTTCTTCTTGGACTTTTTAGCGATTTGCGGCTCTTCATTTTCCTCAACTACTGTTTTATCAGCAATTTCTTCGAAAAAGCTTTCGATACTCATATCTTCATACTTCTTTCCTTTTGTCTTCATCTGGAAAAGTGATTAATTATAATTAGATTATATTGTTATGCTTAATTAGTGTATAATTCCTTACTTTTGATAATTTCGATGTTGACAATGTGCTTTTGTGTTTATATTGGTGAGGGGTTGTTCAGCAAATTTCTGAACGCAAAAAATTTAAATACTTTTTAACCGTTGATCTCCGATTCTGAGCTTTGAATAAGAATGAGATATGACGATCGGTGAGCACATATCACTCAATAAACAGAGTTCAAGTGTCCAAATTTAAATAATGTCTCGGCATGCAGACTGATGTAAATAAAAAAATTCAATTTATTCTCAATCAAAGCACTGCTATGCAATCAATTATTAATTTTACTCTCATTTCGTGTCTGTTAATTTAATAAAATAAAATTTATAATATTGCTCACTTAACGCTCAACACACAGCCTGTGTCTCTCTTTCTCAAGTTTCATTTTTCTTTCTTCTTTATTTTGAGTTTTCACTTTATGAGAATTTCTTGAGTCGTTTTTAAACCACACATAGTCCTCAGTTTTAAACTTCAAGTCGTTACTGCTAGTTGCGAGAATTTTTTAACACTGGTTAGTCGTTTATTATAAAAATTAATATTTGCTACCTTAGTCAATTGAATAATTTAACAAAAGAACTCCTTTATTGTCGAGTCTAATTCGGAACTTTTGTTTTTTGTTCTATCGAATGAAGAGTGCCTAATTCTTCTCATGACATCAGGTCACTTGCAAAATGTATTTAAAGGAGGTCCACGTTTTAAATAAATATCAAATAGCAGTGAATTGTTCAGATACAGACGTCAAGAGAGTTCAAAACTTTATCAAAAAGTTTTAAAATTTAACGGATTTTAAAAATTTGGACTTGTTGTTTTAAAAAAGATGAGCTGAACTAGATTACTGAACAGATTTTGAAACTCAAAAATCTGAAACTCAAAAATGTGTTCTAAAAATTCAAATCTTTAAAAAAATACGTTTAAAATTAATTTTTTGTGCTTTAATTTATTCAAATCGAGGACCCTGCATTAACAGAACAGTGTAAGAAGTTAGTGTTGAGAAAAATCAATGTGTGCAATATATATAAATAAATCCCAACAAGTTATAGGAAATACTATGCAACAAATAATTAATACAGTATGCATATTTTCGATGACGGATGGTTGTGTAAGGTCAAAGTGTGTTCTAATGATAACAGAGCAATGTAAACGATTGTACACAACTCTCTATGATTTAATAACGTTATGTTAAGAAAATAATAAGTTCTACATCGAAAGCCTGCACGTGCCTAATGCATTTGACATTTTATCACTCAATCATAAAAGTCAATCACGTGTGCACATCATCAACATGCAAATTTATAAAGACTCATAATCTCAGTATTGTGCTACAAAATAATCAGAAAATTGGAATAAACTTTTTTATGAGACAAGTTTCGTTCGTTTCTTTCAACAAAAAAAAAAAAAAACGTGCGAGTGACGGAATCTTTCGTTTTTTTTAAAATATCATCAATTCCTAATATGATTGGCATTTCGGAAAAAATAAAGAATAAAAATTCTTTGCAATAAATGATAAAACAAATTTATAGATGCGGAAGACTTAGACGCATTTTCCGGTCTATAAATTGTTAAGTTGTGTATCAAGGATACTTAATAAATTGAATCGAAGTAAATAAAGCGACTATAAGAAAAATTTGAGATTCAACGGCTTTTGTCAATTTGAATTGAATGTAAAAAGTGAACTGAAATGAAATGAAGTGGATTACTGAATGAATTTTTGAACCTAAATTGTGTTCTAAAAAGTTTAAAATCAAAATTTACGTTATTTTCTTGATTCAAAATTTAACAACTTTCAATTTTTGTATTTTAAACTTCAACTCAAGTTTCAAAAGTTCGTTGATCAATTTATTGAAAAAAAAAATGATAGAGCCATTAAAAGTTATTGAAAAGGTGATTTTTGCTACTCAATAAATTACTTCCCGGTGCAATTGATTGAACGAAAAAGATTTGCACGCAATATGAGTCTATAGATATCGCATTGAGATAAGCTTAACACTCAAAAATGCTCGTTACATCATACCAGTAATCAATTATTCTAGTAAATCCCCCCCAAAGTGAATGAACTAGTATCTCGCAAAAAGTGCTCAAAAAATGTTAAAATGTTTATCATTTTAAGACTAAACCGGTTTGTATGAAACATATGAAGCAAAAAAATCAATCTCACTTAGTGAATTTATTACTCTTTCGATTTTCAAGGAATGTTTGAATATTTGTTCATCTTTAAAATTCATCAGACTAATCAAATATTTAAAGAACATGATATTTAATAGTGGATATTTCCCGTCTCTCCTTCTTGTTCTCACCAAAAAATCCAAAAATCACATGCTTAGCATTCAAGATCACTCTTCGTTCCCATCCTGACACAAAGAAAAAAGAAGTGACGAAGATCATGAAAAGTAAATATAGAAGTTTGAATGCTGAAAGATGTTAATCAAATCAACCTCTGTATTCACTCATAAATGCGATGAATTCAGTCTAATGTTTGAAAGTGAATAGGTGCTCAAGGTCAATTGTGCTGAAGGCAAGAGACTTTTAGCTACTTTGGTACAATAAGAATTTTAATTCCCCCTTCTTAATGTCGTTCTTATCATGCAACTTAGTGAGGGGTCCTAGTTTTCAATAAATTCAGCTTAGAGAGACATTCAATTTTCAACTGAAATTTTGAATTTAATTTGCAATTTCTTGAACTTTAAGATAATTTCCAGAAGTGAATTCATAATTCAAACTAAGGACCCCCGTTGGTAGTTGCTATAATGCCTCAGTGAATCTTGATTAATGATGGGAAGAACAACATGCAAGTTCTCATTAAATTAAGAATTCTACTTTTTTTGTTAACAATATCTACACGAATTTGTATGCTTTGAGGAAGTCTCTGTACGTACAAAAGAAGCAATGTCATTGTCTTTAGTCTTCGGATGTTCATGATCTTGAAAAATAACTTCAGCCAACATTCGGTTGTAATAATTTAATGCAAGGTTATTAACGTGCTAACGAATGTTTATTGATTAGCATAATCATAGTGCTTAGGTATAATTTACTAGGCGTTTAATCAACGGGAAATGAAAGAGAAGAAAATTTATATTATATGTTGGGATCGTTTGTCAGTGACGTTAATTGGAATTATCAAATTCCTTTCACTATCTTCTTTTGTTAAAAGTTTAAGAATTTTGTTACTGACCCCCTCAACTTTGACGTCATAAGTAAACAACACCCCTAAATGAATGAAATTGAAACGCACCTTGAATAAAAATGATTAACAGTGACATAGTAGAACTAGTTGTGCATTAATATTCTGTATGATCATTATTTGATTCTTTTCAAAATTGAGTTAAAATTTTAATGGAAAAATGAAATTTGAATTTTAACGGAAATTTCTGATTTAAATTTATTGTACTAGATTTTTAAAGTTTTCAAATTTTAATTGTTCGTTAAAAACTTAATTTTATTAATTCATTCTTTCACAGATAGACTAAAAGATATAAATTCATGACCTTAGATTCCCAAACATTTAATTTTGTCACAAATATGAATATTCTATTGTCATAATTTTCAATTTACTTCCTTTCTTTTAACACCTGACTTACTGTTGTTTGTTTTATAAGTTCATGGGACAATTTTCTGTGAAAATGCAAATAAAAACTATGAATGACTAAGCTCTAGTGTTTTTGGAAGTATAAATTAAAATTTATGCAAAAATGTTATAAAATTCACATAAAATAAAATAAAAATTCGCTCTAGTTTAAATCGCTGGGCATGAATGAAGATTGCATAATTAAGATATCATTTGGATAATGATGAGGTACTTAAGAGGACCTTTGATTTAATCTATGCTGATTTTATTGTCAATCTGTGCTGCTCACTTGTAGTCGGATTTATTTTAATCAAAGCGGATTAATTACTAAATCCTAGGATTAATTTTAAGGATTTGTCAAAAGTTCTTCTACGAAACATAAACTTCAACCACAATAGTGTCTTAAATCCAGCCAGATCAAGACTTGAGGATTTATTAAAGAAATAAAACACGGAATCCTTGAATAAATTCAAGATTTAAGCTTAAAGTTGTAGAATGTGAATTGCTCCATAAAATCGATTATTTTCAAAAGTATTAAATTTCGGAATTGAATTATCCTGAGTTATTTCATCATAAACTTCTCAATTGATCAATAAATTGTTTATTGTTGCTGCACAATTTTTAAAGAAATAAATTAAACTGTACCTTTATCTTACACACGTGCTTCTTAAATAATTTCACACTACAATGGATATAACTATATGCAATAAGACTCGTAGTTTTTTCCAAAAGCTGTTTACTAATTCACAATTTGTTGTGAAAATTTTTGACTAAGCAATTAAGATAGGAAAATAGGAAATAATACTTACTTTCTGTATATATTTAAGCATTTTATTTTTTTGCAAGCATAATCATTTAAGCTTCATTCTAAACAAAATTAATTCTGAGAAGCAATGGCACAGGCTAGTAATGATGAAGTCATGATTAAGTGGCAATAGCGCATTGTTAAATAAATCTTAATGAAAGTTTTAAAAGAAATAACTGCCAAAAAATATTTGAATTTAAAGTTCAAAAAAAAAAATATTTGAATTTTAAGTTCAAAAAAAAAATATTTGAAAATTTAACAGTCAAAACAGTTAATTTCCTAAAAATCAAGAACCATCAAGCTTAAACTTTTTAACAAAAAAGTGCCAGAAGCTATTGAAAGTGTTGGCAAATTAACATATATATTAAAAAATTCTCTTTTGCGTCTGCATTCCATATAAAAACGATAAAAACTTAAATTTTATTTTATTAAAAATGTCATATGCTTAAGTCGTATGTACGTAGATATTTTGCAAGTGTATTTTACATGATGCTGCAATTGCAATATGTGTAAGGCACAAAAAAAGCAGAAATTGATTTTTATTTTGCTCTTAATATTTTATATTTGCAGAGAGGAAAGACGAAAAGCATTTTCCTCAGTGTGAATTGGACAGTAACAACAAATATAGCTGAATTCTATGCATATATGAGTAGTATTGGTTCGCTAATATTATGACACGATCAAAATGGTTAAGCCTTCTTGCTATAGCATTTATTTCGATTGCATTTATGACAAAAGAATGTGTGGGTCAAAGTGAATCACTGTTACGTGTTGGAAAGGCAATTAATGTGTTTGTTCGTTACGGTTATCTTTCCATTTCAATGAAAGTCATATCATATAATGATACTGAGAGGTGGATCTTTAAGGAACCCACGAAGAACGTTTTCCAAGTGCGTGAGAACATCATTTATTTTAGCATTCAATGCAATGCTACATTCAATGTGGATTGAAGTTCTTACGTAATTTTATCGGAAATTTGGAATTCAAATTTTAGCGAAAAATTTGAATTCAAATTATTTTGTACTAGATTTTTTTTAAATCAATAAAAATTCGTTAAAAAAGTACGAACTTCAATCCACATTTCCTGGTCGCAAAAAGTACATTGCTAATGAAGCAATTATTTCTTTCTCTTTTCAACAACAATAACATCGTTTAGGGCCTGTCATTGGATGAAAAAATTGAAGATAATTCAAAGAACTTTAATGGTGATTTTCACATGGAATTTTGCGATAACAAGCAACAATTATTTCAAGCATACTTCCGTGAGTTTAAAATAGAGTCAATGGCAAGTCCATACAAAGCTTTTCAGGCGGGATGGCATGCAGAAATAACAGCTAAGAAGTTAGGAATCAATTCGTCTTATATCATTGGTGATTATAGCTATGTACTTGTTCGAGTATCAAGGTTTCGCGAAAGTGCCAAACTGAAAAGGCCAATAGCACCAAATCAGCCAATCGAGGCCGGTGCTCTTGAAAAAATTAAAAATATCACCGTCGGAGATACAGTTTCGGTATTACAGTTTATTGAGAAATATGGCAGTCACTATATCAGCAGCTATGTGACAGGCAACTCTTTATATCAGGTATAACTTAAAAATCTTACGAAATTACATTCAGCATTGGTATAATATACTTGATTCTATTAATATTATCTCATTGCTGTTCATTCAGGTTTTCGTTTTTAATAAAAGAAATTATCAGCACATTAAGGAAAAGTTAAAAACTCGTGGGTTTGCGTCGTTATCAAAGAACGATCTTTATGTAAGTGATGCAACTTTTTAATATTAGTGTAAACAGAGCTTTTTGGATGTTAAAAAGCTTTCAAAAAAAACCCGAAAATTAAATTTTTACGTAATTTTAGTCTTTGGATCATTTTTTCAAGGTACTTTCCTGTTCTTTATAACTTTGATCAGTAATTAAGCCAATTTGACAAGAAATTATGGATTAAGAGACTAAAATTTGCAACACATTTGTTTTGTAAACAAAGATTTCAAAATTTGAATTTTAAGCTTTTGAAAGTTCTTTTAACTTAACTTTGAGCTTTCGAAACAGTTTTAATGATCTTAGAAAATTATTAGACCTAATCAAATTAATTCACTATCCCATTCCACAGAACTTTTTCGCGCCTTGGTTTGCTGAGCATTTAGGAAGCATAAGATGTGCCAGTGGCAATAGTTCAGTCGAAAGATGGGCTACGCGGAAGCTGAAACTCAGTTATTATTTATTTACATACAATAGTCTGTTAAAATTGCATGGATCGACGACTTTACTGAAAGCACTTGATGAATTACTTGGAAATGAAGCGATTCTTCAACTAGAATTAAAATCACTTGCGGTGGCTATTAAAGAGCCCGAGAAGAGAAAATTCTATCAGGTCATTCTAGACAATACTATTAAATTATGGGAAGTCAATATGCCATAACATAAATATGCACAAATTTTTTTTATAATTTTATTTAAAATGGACTCAAATTGAACAAAGCATCGTCGCACACATGACCACAAAGTTCAACGAATAATTTAAGAACAGTAATTTATACGAAATGAAAAAGATGGATGACATAAAAGTGTATTTGCTGATGGAATAAGTTAATTTATTAAACATGAAGCTTGCATTGAACATTTAACGGTTTTTGAAACTTCAAATCTAGGACTAGTAATAATTTTAAATCTTACAAAATCGTTAGCTTTTAAATCTTACAAAATCCATTAAAATTCAAAAATCGAAAAAACCGTTAAATTTATGACATTTTGAAAAAATGTGATTTAAGTCATGCAAGGCAGGTAAAGATCGAAAATGGAATGATTTTGCTAGCGCCACTAGTTTTCCTTAAGTAAGTTATCATTTCCTCTAGAAAGTGCATGTATGCTGGCAAAATATTAAGTGAATAGTTTTATGTGAGCTTAGGGGTCGTTCTTAAATTCAGTCTATCGAAAAATTGAGGCCCTTTTTTGTTACAAATATGTTCATTCAATTTGTAAAGAGGTGCAAATCTTAAAAACCCTATATATTAGACATCAATAATGAACGACTTCTCATTAGAATGCATCATTAGTTAATAACGTTAAATTACTACTTTAGCATGCAAAATAAGAAATTCTGGAAAAAATACACATTCCTCAAAAGTAAAATTATGTGATTATTAAATTAAATGTCAAATTACCAGAAGAAGCTCTTCAACTGCGCATTATTGAAGAAAGCTGTTTAAAGACTGTAAAATAGTAGATTTGATTTTTTTTGTAGCTATAAGTGTCCCAAAGCTCTATTTTCTATTGTCTATATACTAAACTTGTGCCAAGTAAGTGATAGCTATTAAACTACTTCTATTAGCACTATTTCTTACATCTGTGATAGATTTTATGTTTTATTTTCGAGTAAAGATGTATGAACATATTTTTTTTTTATATATTATTATTTTAATTTAATTTTAAATTAGCAAATAAATACGACTAAATCTTTTATATAATTTATTACTTCAACATTTTTTTCTCTTTATTTCTTTTACTCTTTTTTCTAACATTTACTATGAATTATAATACAAATCTTTCACTTTCGAATTCTCAACAAATTCTGCTTGTGATCCGATACTTTGCACTTGAAAATAAAAAAAAAAATGCAAATATGCAAAAATTATAAGAGATTTTCTTTTCTAAATTATAATAAAAATGTAGATAATAAATTACAGCACTTTTCTCCTCGTATAAATATATAATACATAATAATTCCTCATATTTAAAGACAATATGGAGCAGAAATAAGTAAAAATCAAGGTACAACAGCTTTGAAAACGCTGCGTTATGACTGTGTGGATTAACTATGTGACAAATTGATTATGACTGCAGTATTTAGCAGGTATGTTAATTTTTCAGTGGCTTTCGAATCCCAAAACTCCCTCAAAATGTTTTCGTACAAAAAATATCAAAACAACGGCCCACGAAATGTTTCTGACTACAATCTGGTATAAAGCATTTCGCTTATTCACTTACGACAAATAACAGATGAGTATTTGAGGTCTAAATGAACCTATGAGCCTCCTCTGCTCACAAAACTATATCCACATTGGGGTTCATTCATTAATTACGAAAAGGAGGGTTGTGAGAATTATGTAAGTGAACGACCCTGACCCTGAAGACTAAAATAAATCCCGAGATTAAAATTTAAATCTAGAGTTTAAATCCTCGCATTTAAGTTTTAATCTTCAGAATTAGAACATCAATTTTGTTAAAAAAACTGAGAAGGGGCCGTTCTCTATGACGTCCAGGGGGGGGGGGGGGGGGTTCAGCAAGAAAAGAACAATAGAAATTCCTGGAAATCCATTGTTCTCTTTTGAAAAATGACCGTTATTTTCGGACGTCATAAGTGAACGATCCCGAAGAAGAATTTCGACAAATTGGATTTGCCTCTCTACACCTGATTAGGCATCTCTTAAGACGTCATCTTGATCACGCTCAAGATAATATTACCATTTAGAATTCTAATCCACAAATTAATTAAGCAAAGATCTTCAAAGTCAGTCGAGTGTACCAAGTGTCAATATTTGTGAGGCATAATAATAATAGTATATCAACAAAAAAGCTTCTTTTACATAACTTTTATCGCTAGGCGAATAATGGATGGTTATTTATAATAATTTAATTTAATTAAAAACTCAAATAAATTTTTTAAATTGATAGTCAATAGAAATAAAAGCGAAAATTTCAATTCTTTTTTTTATCTAAAAATGTGTTTTGCGGGCAATTGCAGAAATATTTACTAAAGCTGGATGTATCATGTAATGGCATTCATTAAAAACAGTCATCGTCCTGATTACTTCCAAAGCGTACATAAATATGTATGTGATGAATTACGTATCCTTTAGTGCACAAATGTGAAATTTTCAGGTCCATAACATGATACATCAATTTAAGTAGTCATTAATGTTACAAAATCATATCACCATCACCAATATTTAACTGCCCGCAATTAGCTAACAATCATTTCTTTGTTGTATCAGATCCATTGCCACGTGACAGGTTAATAAGAGTCTTGGGCAATGCGAATTGTAGATCGGGTAAAATTGTTGAAATTCCATTAGACATTTGATATGGTGAAACTGTCGACACTTCTTGTCGCTCAAAAGTATAATTAAAGTTATTCGTTATCGTCATTGGCTGTTTAGTCCTTGCGTAAAAGGATTGATCGTAATGACTATTGTTGCTACTTAAGAACGATGTCGTGTGATTGACATAAGGTTTTGATGGTTGATTCCACGATGGAAAATTAGGTTTGGATAGGAATTGACTAGCATTTATAGACGGTTTTACAATTGGAACACTTACAAAATCAGACCAGTCTGATGTGTCTGCATTATTATCACTACTATTCATTTTCTTATTATCAGACGTATGATTAGGTACTTGATTTAATGATTGACTTACTGACTGAAAATCGCACCACTCATCATCATCAGCATGTTGCTTCTTTTTAATATCTACCTTACATTTTGGAAATGCTGCCTCAATACGACTTATTTCATCACTATCTAATGAATCATGCATCCACGATGTTACTTTCTGATGACCTTGTGATGATTCTGACATTTTATGCATGCTGTTTGCTAATCTTGATGGCGATAATGTTAATGATGAGTCTTCTCTAAATAGTGGTTGATGCTGTAACCTCTCAATTGGAACTTTTTGCGGTAAGATTATTGGAGCTGCTTGGAAATCTGCAAAATCATCCTCAATTGATTTTTTTTGAGCTTCAATTGTTTTACTTGGAGCTTTTGCTAGTTCCGCAAAAACGTCATAGTTTGATACTTGATTTGGGAAATTTGTAACAGTTTTAGGCATAAACTCATGCTCATTAACAGCAGTGTTACTTATAATTTCAGATTGTTTCGATTCAATAACTTTTTGTGGCTCTAAAACACTCAATTTTTGTGGTTCCAATACATTTGTGGGTAATAAAATAGTAGCAGCAACAGCAGGTTTTAACGGTTGAATTGGAACGTCATTAATAGCTGATTGGAAATCATTAAAATCACCAAAATCACTGTCTTGATCAGTTTTCTTTGATGACTCAAGACTGTATTCAACATCATGATATTCCTTAATGACAACAGATCGTTTATCCTTATCGTTCTCGATCGGTGACGACTCCCTGCTCACTTCACGAGCAACAGGACTAATACTTTTAATCGGCGTAAAAATGTGAGTTTCTGGAAGTTTTATAGTTCGTTCACGAACAATCGTGTTGGCTACCTCGAATCGCTCACTTTGCCATATATGTTTCGTTAAGCTATTGTCTATATCGGATCCAACTACTTCTGCAATCTTTTGTGTCGCATCAAATGCACTCCCCAATTCATACGGCAATGATGATTCTTCATTTGGCTTTAACGTGTTAGCTTGCTTACCTAAAAAGAGATATTTTATGACAAAAAAAAAAAAAGATGGGATTTCATTAATAAAAGTTGCGAGTGTTTTGGACATTGACTAAGAGTGCTAGACAGTCTTTGCTATTTATCAAAATTATATAGTCAGATTGAGATTAAAGTAACGTCTATGTAAAATGTGAATGACACTTTTAAACGTGGTTAAGAAATTTTAGGACTTATTAAATCATAATAATAATTGAAAGCTATTGAAACAAAAGAGCTTTCAGCTTTCAAAAAGCTCATTTCCAATAGCAGCTTTTTAACACAATCTTTTAAGGAAATCAGTTTAATCTAGGACTGATATTAATAGAAAACATAAGAGCATAAACAAAAATAAAATAATAGATTAAGGCATGCGATAAGTTCAACTACGATACTGAATCAACGACAATTTAAATATTTTCATTGATAACTTACTATTACGTTTTTTAATCACATATTTGTTCGAATCAAGAGTATCAAATTGTCGTAAAACATCATCAGTGTTGTTAGTAGTGCGAGAATAAGATGGAATTTGATTAAGTTGCTCTAAACCCAAAAGATAATTGTTGTGTGCTACAAGGATGGATTTTTGATTTACCGAAATTAGGATATTGTTAAGTTATTAAGTTTTGAAAAGATTTGATTTTTTTTGGATATTTGCAACACAAACTGATGGCCAACAACATCATTAATTATCTTAAAAATAATGTTAGAATATTTTAATATTCATCTTACCGTCCAAAGGATTTGTTAGACCAGCCACACTCCAATCAAATTCGGGTACTATATCTGGTTGTGCTTCTTTCGATACTTTCTCAATGTCTTTATCTTTAGCTTTACTAATTATGCTACTATTTACTGTACTATTAGTTCTGTATGATGTTGAGGATGATGCAAATTTTGCTGGCTCTAATGGATTAAAGCTTAAGTCTGATGCGAATCGAGGCATGTTTGAGGCAGCCCATTGTGGTCCAAAAAGCTACAAAAATAATTTATTTTGCGACTAATTACTTGCAAATCTAATGATCTAATTTTGGACAAAACTTTTGAGCTTTTTTCAAAAGTTTTTCAAAAAACTCAAAAGCTTTGTCCAAAAAATTAAAAACTTTTAAATTACTCACAATGTTCCTTTCGTCAATTCCTAATGCCTTAATTAATATGTGATTAGTTGACGAATCCTTATAATCGTAAGTAAGTGCCAACGTTGATTCCACGTCGTTGACAATTTTCATATCATTTTCATTTCCTTTGTCTTTGTGTATAATTGGATAAGTAGTGCTGTCGTCTGCTTCAATTTTATTTACTGGAAACATTTCACTCAATATAGTCTTGACTTCTGAATCATCGAGAATGCTTAATGTCTGCTGTGTATATTGGATTTCTTGTTGAGCGATTAATGTGTCTTGTGAAGGTCCCTGATGCTCAAAATCATTAAAATCCCCGAAATCGTCATCATCATTATCATTATTGGTCTCATTTAAGAATGTTTCGTCATCGATTACAGCTGTTGTTTTTTCTATGCTCGTGTGAAACTCTTGACCTTCATTGCTATTACTAAAGCTTTGGAACTGATTATCAAAATTAACTTCAAATGCACTAAAATCAGCTTCGAATTGAAATTCATTTGGTTCATCCACGACAGTCTTCTCGATTGAAATCTGTTGCTCTATATGTCTATCAATTGGAATGGCTTGTTCGAAATCATTAAAATTGTCAAATTCATCATCATCATCATCGTCATTAATATTTTGTAAGCTCTCCTCTATATGCACTTCGGGCAGTTTCTCTAATATATTAACCACAGTAGTTTCTATATCGTCTCCCCAACCGTCATCATCATCCTCTGGCATATCTTCAAGAGTAAAATCATTAACTTTATGTGTTGTATCCTTAATATCTCCATTATTATTATTCGATGTTAATTCTAAGTCAGTTTTATGTTCAATTGACGACTGTATCTCAATTCCCTCCGTGCTTTCCAAATTTGGTGGGTTTATCACTTCCTCTGTAATTGTTTCGTCTTTTGGTACTGTATTTTCTAAATCATTCACTTCTGCAACACTAACTGGATGATGAATATTCTCGATTTCGTCCATTTCAACTTCAATTTCTGGGATCTCTAGCTCGTCTGCCTCATAACTTGTTTTATGTATGAAAAAGTCATCGACAGGTGGAGGACTACTATCATATAAATGCAATACGTTGTTTGTAATCGTAGAATGTTCTTTAATTGTTCTGTATGAGGAAAGTTCTTCATCGTCAAGGTCGAAATCATTCTCATGATCCTTTCTTTTACTACTTATTTCCTCATCAGGTGGTGGTAAATCACAATCCAATTGTGGTGGTTCACAATCTATAAAATTTAATGATTAATTAATTAACATCTTTCGAGATTTTCACAACTTTTTTGTAAATTCAATTTTTATCAATTTCCTTTGTTAAATTCTAATAATCTTCAATTTACCATAAACAGACATCTCATCAATTATACTCTTATACTTCTAAATCCTTTAATTGTACACGTAATTTAATGTAATTAAGTAAAATCTATTTAATGAATTTTTTTTACTTCGAAATTTCCTTTTTTACACTTTTATCACTTTTTAACACTAGTTGGCGCTGCTGTTCATTCGATGTACGAAATATTCGTGGTATCTAGTAGCTTTAGTCACTATTAATTGCTCTATAAACAGCATTTCATATTAAACTCAATTAGAACTCTTATTTGTTTACAAATTTCAACAGATTTTCAATTTTGAAATTTTAAAATATAATGATTGCTCGAATTTGAATTCTTTTCTTCCGTTTAATTTTTAAAATTGATAAAACATGTGAAAGTTGTAAAAACTATTAATTAGCTTAAAAACACATAAAACAAGATTTAAGTGTATCAATTGTGTGTAATTCACAGAGTAAAAGTCATATTGAATAATAGTAGAACAAAGTGAACGAGTTAAGTGCTCCAATTGAGTGTAAAAGGCTAAAAACAAATAAATAACAAAGAAAGAAAGTTTTTATCAGAGATATTTTAAGCGTTTTCCAACAATAACGTTATAATACAATTAAGTCAAAATAGTTGAAACAGCATAATGGAGTGCGAGAAACCAAAACAGCGTGTAAGATATAATTAATATAGCTTTATTGTCATTTTGAAATTACGTATTAGAACAAAGGCCACAAAACTGATAAAAAAGTATTAATACTCATATTATAATCACTTTTAGAGAAAGAAAAAATCAAAAAGTCATGAATCAGACAGTTTAGAATGTTCATCATCATTAGACTCTTTTGAGGTCGATTTAAAGGAACTGGAAGATTTGTGTATAGCAATGAAACCCGATTCTCCGATTGAAACCTTAGAAGTAACGAATGAGATGAATAAACAAGAAACGGAAGAGAACATAAACTCAGAGACTGAACAAGAAGAAAGCATAGAATGTATACAACCAAGTGCTCCATTAGAGGACATTTCAAAGCCAAATATATTCTCATCTCCTTTAGTGAACGAGAATTTATATCCAGACTTAAAACTAGCTGAAGTTGCAACAGTTTCATTTGAAAAAACATTATCACCATCAATAATGAAGCCATTCACACAACACCAGTTAGAATCTCTTTATAAAATCAATGAACTAGATCAAGTATATAGATTTGAAGAAGAATTTGTTGAGAGAGAATTGAAAGATACGTCATTGCAAGAACATCCTTTATACATTTTATTAAAGAAGTATGCACGGTCTAGATCTCGATTTATGAAAAATACAAATGATGCTGAATGTACTATGCAGAATTTGGAAGGTAATTACAAGAAAATATGGAAAATTGAACACAGGCAAGCATCAAATAATGGCTTTTGTACTTGTGGTCGAGTTTTATATGCATCCCATAGCTATAAATTTGCACTATTCTGTGATGATGCTTATTCAGAAATGGACCAAAGTATGAGAAATCTTCAAGTTATGACATCAATCAATCATGTCAAATTCTCACAAGAATGTGCTCTATTTCATCGTCAAATTGAACAAATGATTAATGAATTGATAAATGCTGACGTTTTTAAACACATATCGAACGATTCACCTATTGCACTCAATCAACAAATCGAAAATTACGACTTGAGACTGAAAGTAACAGATTTGCGAATTTACGTATCAATTCTATTCAAGTTCCTTCGAGAAATGCCACAAGAAAAACAATTAGAATTGGATATACAGAATTGGATCAAGCAATTAATATCATTACAACTGAGAATTGCTACATGGGAAGATCATGTCTTTATACTTTTTCATATCTTAAGATGTGTGGACGGTGTTGGGAATTGGGCATCAAGTTTCGTTCAAATTCCATCAGTTGAAGATGAATCTTTTAAGTACGAACTACTTGGATCACCAGATATCCATCATTGTATATCGATACTTCAAATTCTCTTAATGCCAATTCACAAACGACTCGTATTCTTAGAAGATCATCTTAAAGATGTAATATCGACAAAGAATAAAAGTGAAAAAGATTTGTGGATATTAGTCGATTCTGATGGCGAGGAAGGAAGCTCTTCAACTGAAGATTGTAGTAAATTAAGAGAAAGTGATATAGTAGCACTATTTGATCAAATTCCATGGGAATTTGTTTTTAAAACTATGTGCTTTGCTCAAAAAGTTGGAGATTCATATGAAATTGATCTTGAAAAAGTTTCATTTGGTCATCATGTTATAAAAGTCATAGCCTTTACATCTAGATTTTTAGCCATTCTCAAAATTGGTCTGTTTGACTTAACAGACCGCCATAAGCAATTTGCTAAAAGACTGGGAAAATTAATCAAAGAAACATTGTTTTATCTTCGTGACATAATCAGAATATACCAAAAATCGTCATCTTACAAAGATCCTGAAGAATATCAAAGAATTCAAGTTGAATATGATGAATTATTAATCCGATCAGCTTGCTTTATTTATGAGATTAAGAAATTAAGTCTGTTCCAATATTTGGCTGATTTTCCTTATGAACTTGTAACTACTAAAGCTCTTTGGAATCTCTATTACTGTCTTCATAGCGGTGATTTCAAGCCTCGATATGCAGGTAATAAACAGATTATTAATCTTGGATTTATTTTAAATCGTAATTTTAATCCAAAGATTTCATTTAATCTCATTGATTTAATTTTAATCCTCATTTATAATTCGAATTTTCAGACTCATCACCCTTGAAATTTGACAACGAATTCATCAACAAATTCAACCACGATATCGCAATGGATGATTTGTTCTTCCTGCTGCATACATTCGCAAAAATGTCAGAAGGTAAAGGAAAAGAAGATTTGGAATTTCTGAACTTTATTTGTCGTGATTTAATTCATATTGGATTTATCAATGAATACACAAAAGATTTTTGCTATAATACTGTCAAGGATTTAGTCGCAGACATAACGAATAAGTTTCCAGAAATTGTTGGTGATATAATTCATTTTATTAAGAATAATTTGGCTAGCATCGGTTCCTTAAATACTTATATATTGAAGTCACTTCCAATTCATAAATGGAAACCAACACAAAAAGATTTGGAACTATTTTCATCTTGGCTATTAAACTACGATTTTGACACTGTCGAAAGCTCAACAGCACGTTTTATTATTGCATCAATTAATTGGAATTTTGATCACGAAAATCAACTCTTTCTTCCGCACGAAATTCATGTTCGAATGGCTCATTTGATATGTGAAGTATATTTAAAGTATGTCGGTGAATCCATCAAAAGTGATTTCAATGAGACCAAATTTTTAGGAAAAGTAACAAAAAACTCGTCAAAGAAGGATAAGTTTTCAGTCTGGTGCTGGTCAATGATTTCATTATTGAGATTACATCAAATCGACATAAATCCTAGTGCTGTGATTAAAAATCCAAATACTCTAAATCTCATACCAGAATTTGAAGAACTGAATGTTGTGTATCAAGGTGCAAATGATAATAAACCATTAGCAATCTATATCTCATTCCTAATTTCTAAATATGGTCATTCTGTGCCGCAAATTTGTCATCGTGGATTTGAGCAACTTAAACAATTGTTGATAGACCATCGATATCCAAAAGTAATTCGTTGCTTGGAACTAATTGTTCCACTTTTTATGGAATGCGTTCAAAGCTTGTTTCAATGTGAAACTTATGTGAATATCTTAGAGACCTTAATTAAGGCTGATAAGACAAATGGAATTGTGTCAAAGGATAAAAATGACAACAAAGTCACAATTTTAAAACTTTTCGGAAATATGATTTTAAATCAATTAAATTCGTATCAGAAATATGGATGGACTTCACCACATGATATAACTTATTTGTGGATTAACTCTATTTTAAAGATTAAGAATTGGCACAAAGATGAGAGAATGCTTTGGATACTCGAATTAATTTGTCAATTTTCATATCCATTTAGTGACACATTACATATGGTTAAGGAAGTCCTTAGATCACATGTTCAGACTATTGCTGTAACAAAAGTACCAAAATCATCAGGCTTATTGAGTTTAGTCATGTCTGAGGAACTTGATATTTTATATTCTCCAGTCTTTGAAACTCCAATTTTGTCACTTTTGATTCTTGAATGTGAGCATGAAAATATTGAAGTAAATACTGGATATTGGAATGACTTGATATATCAACTGTCTGTCCAAAATGATTCAACATTAGAGAATATCCACAAAAGTGTTTTAAGTACGAAGCAATTGACGTCATTTCCAATTCGATCTTTGGTGATTTACAAGCTTGCTAAATTGATCTGTAAATGCTCGACAAATAATTTTATATATCCAATAATTTGTCAACAGTTCTTTACACTTTATTTTTCACGAGTCTTTATTGACATTTCGAATGACTCGCGAGCAGTTCAAGAGAAATTTTACGATTTGGACATAGCTTTAATGAAGAAGCTTAAGAGGAAGTTGGAAGAGTCTGAAAAATATCATAGTGACATTGCTACAAATGAGTCATCAGGCGATACATCACAATTCCACACAAATCTATCAAAAATATTCAAAACATTTTTGTTGTGGCTCGAAGAAAATCAACTGAATAGCATGATGCAGAAAAATATCATTTTACCTCCTTTATATGAAGGACAGAAGCTTAAACTTATATTTCAAGGAAATAGGACTCATTGGACTGAATATATTGATATAATGGAATTAAGAAGAGTTCAAAAAACAAATTGTGATTGGTGGCTGAAATACTGCATGCGAACAAACTTAGCAATCACTTCAGATGATTTTAATGATGTAAAGGAATGTGATTCTATCCAAGAAATTGCAAACAAAATGTGCGAACGTCTCAAAAGCTCTGGAAAGTTGACTAAACCACCACCAGAATTCGTTAGGAAATCATTATATATGGGAAAAATTGATCTATCAAAGGATACATTAAAGCTTTTCAGGAATGAGACAAAGCTTCTGAGAAAATGTGCACAGTAAGTATTTTAATCGAGTTTTGATTTTTTAGCATTTAGCGCATTCTTTGAAACCTTGTTTTGGAAAAGGTAGCTTATTAATCACTTTGTTCGAGCAACTATAGCTAATAAATTTGCTAATCAAATGCTCATCGCACGGAAAAAAATGTGCTAAAATCCCTCGATTGGTCGAATAATACGAGGTCTTTTGTAATTTTCTTTACAGCCAATTCACAATGACAGCGAATGAGCACAAAGCAGTCGATGCCGTTTATCGTGACTCTGTTAGATATGCATTCACGAATGAGTCAACATTTCGAATGAAATCAGTTCAATGTTCTCGACCAACTGAAAACAGTTGCTCAGGATTCAAGATGATGAAAGTAGAATTTTCCGAAATGAAGTCAAATGACGCAATCAGAATGAAATTAGAAGATAATCGAGATTATTTTAGAAAATTGGTCGCAAAGGAACTAGGTGAGGCGGATATGAGGATTACAGATGCAAGCTTTTGTCTTCAAAATATTGTTCAGCAGTTGATTCAAATGTCTTACGACAGCACTAAGAGAGAGAAGGTTTTAAAATTAAGCACAAGTCTGTTCTATGAATTATTAGATGACATTGATACTGAACTTCAGGAATATCCAATAACAAATGAGTTTTATTCGAATGCTGTTGCCAAACTTGGATCTTTTATTCAACAAAATGACTCTAATGAGATGCTTAAGGTCCTAAAATTAGTTCTTCAAAAGCCAATAGCTATCAACTTATTTACTGACATTTTTGCACCATCCATGTCAAGTCCAGCTATATTTATAAGCTTGTACGAATGCCTAGTCAATCTGTATGCAAAGAATTATGAGCCACAAATTTTATTCGTTCTTGTTTCTAAATTTGACATTCCAACTTGGCTTCAAGCTCATCGACCAAAATTAGTGGAAGTTAGTGAATTGATTAAATTAATTTTCCGTGGATTAGAACTATGGACTATTGAAAATTCAGAGCTTCTTCAAGACGTGCTTAGATGTCATTTAGTTCATTTATTCATGTATCGCTTCCCAGAACATTATGGAGAAATTTTACAATGTATCTTGACTGAATTTTCACAACAACGTCTACGTCCGTGCATCTTACTTGACATTTTAAATGCTTTCTATCAAAAAGTTGGATGTAACAAAATGGACACGGAAATGTCAATTGGAAGAATGAAGGATGAAATGAGAATTTTAGCAGCAAAACAAAATCTTTTACAATATAATGAGCTGCATTCAACAGCTTTAATGCTTAATCACTATTTCTATAATGAACGTCTTCAGCATGGATTGCATGGGAACTACCCAAAGTTTGCTAAATATTGTGATGTCTTATCAATCCTTTTTGGAACTATCGGACATTGTGTGATTTCTGCAGCAATAAAAGCTTTTCCAGAAGCATCAGCTGACTATTTAGTAAATGAATTGTATCCATGCATATCAAATATGTATGCACCGATGTTAGTTCCTTTATATTATTCACAAACTGTTAAAGATGGTCCAGCAAATTGGATACAACAATTATCGACCGGAAATACAATTTTACAACCTTGGTCGAATGTGCATACAGAGAATGCTGAAAAATTTATTCGAACTTATGCAATGTGCATTCAATACATGTTTGACATGCTTCCAGGCAGTAATTTGTTGATTCAACATTTATTTACTTGGTATATTGAATATTTTGCTAATAAAACGACACCGAAGCATGTTTTGGCACCAATTCAATTGCTCCTGACTAAATTGCCTTTTGAGCGATTCCTTCCGACTTTGCAGCATATGGAAGGATTCAATCGTGTCTTGATGGATGTAAGTTTGTAGAAATTAGATATTTTAAATTGTTAATCGACAAGTTATATTCACAGTTTGTTCCTGACTGTCACACGTTTCTTGGGAATATATTTTTGAGAATCTCATGGACACAGTGGCTTTCAGTCCAATTGCCAACATTAGATTACACAACATCGCAAAGAACTATGGCGATTCTGTTAACAACAATCATAAAGTTATCATTTGAACCAAAAGTACGTGAAAGCATAAGGATACTTCAATTGCTACAAGATGCTGTAAAATATAATTGGATGATTCTTGACTATAAAGATGTAGAAAATGTCCTCGACTGGTTTGTTATGTCTGCAGAACCTTCTGTTATTTTGAAAATTCCTTCAGAACACGAAACTGTCGACTTGAACATCCATATGCTTTTACAAACTGTGTCAGGCATGCGATTAAGTCAAAATCAAGCACAGAATGTCCAACAAACCTATTTAACAGCTAAACGTATGGCTTATGTCCGATCTGTTGTTCGATTACTTAAAAGTTGTGATGCCAAACTTCATCAATTAATCATCACGGAAAATGGAAAGCAAATGATAAATGAAGCATTCATTGAGTTCCTAAATTTAATCGATTCTGTTGTGACTGATGAAATGGAAGCTACAAATCTTGTCGTTACAATAACTGATAACATGTCAGTTCCAGAAAATACAGCAAATCTATTTGTTGGTGGAATTCAGGCATGGCAAAATGCTACTAAAATAGGAAGTTTGACGCTTTGCTGCTTCATTAATGCATTGAAAATTCAGAAATATTGGACATTGCAAATGTTTCAAGTATTGGAATCGAGTCTTTTAAATTATATGAGAATGTCTGGTAAGTATTGAAGAATTAAGCATGGATTAAATTAATCTTGGGATTTAAACTTGAGATTGAAATTGACCCAAGGATTTAAAATAAATCATTTGATTTCCTATTCCAGAATCAGTTCCAAGTCACAAGCCATCATGGTTAAATGCTCTCGAACGCTTACCATTAAGAATAAATTATGACCTCAATGTCCTTATTGATCGTGAATTATACTTATCAGTTCACTTCCTGTCAATCACAAAAATGTCTTCTAGCGTCAACGATAATGATCGTCTGGAATATTTAATTGATCTGCAGACAAAGCTTTCGTCGCAAAAAACGACAGAACAAACTGAAGCTGGATATTGCTTATTATGGTGCTTCCTTTTGATGAGTTATGGATATGTTTTAAAAAGCTATTGTAATGCTGAGAAGCAGCTGAGGATTGTTGCAAAATATCTTCAAGTAACTTACAGTCAAAATGAAGGATGGGGTGATGGATTGCTTGGTGCCATTGGATTAAAAAAGGATCCACAAACTAATGAGAAGAAAATCTTGATGCGCTGCTTTGCGTGTGGAGCTTTAGCTTTAATTGGAACTAATATTGAATTCGAAAGTGCTACAAATGACCTGAAAACGTTCCTTAATCAAAAGAAATTTACCGATATTAAAATGAAAGGTCTTCAAGCTATAAGCTTAATAGAGAATAAGAGAGGAACAATTTGTATCGATTTTATCGATGTCATGAGTAAAGTTATGCGAATATTTTACAGTGATTCATATTTTAATAATATAGATAAATTATACTGTTGGTGATATGTCCTAATCTTGTATTGATTCAATTAAATTGTGATTATTAATATCCATAAATAAAAGTTTATTTCCATCATCATTAATAATCTCATATTTTAAAACAGAACAGCTGTAACGAAATTTTTTAAAACAAAAAGTTGTTTAAGACTGAATGAGCTTGTTTTTCTACAACGGAGTTCATCATTTTGTCCAAAAATTCCTCTTCTGAAACTTTTAGATTTTTAAAACATCCAGAAAATTACCGCTATTTCAAATTTTCAAAATTATTTTTGAACTTTGAATTTTCAAATATTTTCTAACCGTTGAAATTTAAATTTATTATGGCTGTTATTATTCAAGCATTATTATTTTGAACAGGCATCTTATTCTAAATTTACAGGATATTCAATTCATGCCCAGAAAAAAAATGCGCCCCTATCATTCTTGACTGAATAATATTCCTAGTGCACACGAACTATATGCACAAAAATTATTATTTTTTAAGGACGAAACATGAATTTTAAACTGTAACTCGCAATGTCATCAAAATTAGTGCACATATTAAATGCTGGACGGACACCTTATCGGGAAGGATTGAATCTTCAGAGGTTTATAGCCAACCAAATCATTGAAAATAAATGGAACTTTCAGAATGTTTTGATTCTTACAGAGCATGATCCAGTTTACACGATTGGTAGCTAGCTCTCATTACTTAATTTGTACTCTCGCATAGTTTAGCTAATGAATGTTACTTTCTAGGAATAAGAACTACTAATTATAATAAAGAAGACGAAGAGAGGCTAAAGAAACTCGGTGCTGATTTCTACAGAACAAGTCGAGGAGGTCTAATAACATATCATGGTCCTGGACAGCTTATATCATATCCAATATTGAATCTCAAAAATTTCCATCAAAGTGTTCGTTGGTATGTTGGCAAGATTGAAAAGTCTATAATTGATTTATGTAAAAAGTATGACTTAGAGGCTGAAACTACAAAAGATACAGGTGTTTGGATTGAAGGAAATCGTAAAATATGTGCAATTGGAATTCATGTTTCACGGCATGTAACAAGTCATGGATTAGCAGTTAATTGTAATACGGATTTAAAATGGTTTAATCACATAATCCCGTGCGGATTAGAAGGTAAAGAAGTTACATCACTGTCCAAAGAATGTAAACAAGATGTGTCCAAAGATGACGTTATACCGAATTATATTGACAGCTTTGAGAAAATATTCGAATGCCAAACAGTCAATATTGATAAGGAGGAGGTAGATGAAATCAAGAGACTTTCAAAAAAATTAGAAGAATAAAGATAAGCCACAGAACTTTTTTTGGTAAGACTGTACGAGATGGGGCACCCTTTATTTTTCAATTTTTAAAGTGTTTTCTTATTGCTTTTAATGTGTTCATTTATAAAAACAAAAGTTTTTATGGCAAAAAACACATTTGGAACAAAAAAAATTTTTTGCTGTTAATTTGCAGGAGGTTTGCAGTTGATCAAAAAATTTATTTTTGCAGGTGGTTTGCAGGAGATTTGCAGTTGATCGAAAAAATTTATTTTTGCAGGTGGTTTGCAGTTGATCAAAAATTTTATTTTTACAGGTGGTTTGCAGGAGGTTTGCAGTTGATCAAAAAATTTATTTTTGCAGGTGGTTTGCAGGACGTTTGCAGTTGATCAAAAAATTTTATTTTTGCAGGTGGTTTGCAGGAGATTTGCAGTTGATCAAAAAAATTTATTTTTGCAGGTGGTTTGCAGGAGGTTTACAGTTGATCAAAAAAATTTATTTTTGCAGTTGATTTGCAGTTGAGAAGTTTTATTCAACTAATGTTAAGAAAAGATGAAACTAAAAAGCCGTTTTATCTTTTGTAAAAGGGATAATATTACAAATTAGAATTGAATTCAATCGAATAAAATAACAATTAAATAAAATCAAAGATCATCAAATAATCTTCAGAAATTTAAAAGAATAAATAAAAATTTGCAGTTGATTTGCAGATCATCAAAAACAATTTTGAAAATTTGGAAAATTTAAAATATATTCAAACGGTCGAAATCATTAAAGCACTGTTTTTACATCACAGGCTAATGGATTACTGCGAGAAATGTTTGAAGTTGCTTTAAAAGCAGATATGATATGATTTTTGTAAAATGTATTTTTTTTAAAAAAAAAACTTCGATTTAGAAAAGAAAACCTCAACTGCAAACTTCCTGCAAACCACCTGCAAAAATAAAATATTTGATCAACTGCAAACCACCTGCAAAAAAAAAATTTTTTTGATCAACTGCAAACCTTCTGCAAATTAACTGCAAAAATAAATTTTTGATCAACTGCAAACCTCCTGCAAATTAACTGCAAAAGAATTTTTTTGTTCCAAATGCGTTTTTTGCCATAAAAACTTTTGTTTTTATAAATGTACACATTAAAAGCAATAAGAAAACACTTTTAAACCCCATCTCTTACAGTTTAGCTCTTTTTTTTATTACTCAATAATATTTCATTTTATTATTATTTGTTCCATCGATTCCAAAACAGCGAATGAGCAACATTTGAAATGTTATTCATAATTGTCGATGACATTGCCGTTTCTTGTGGCTGTGGCATTGTCGCATGTAAAACTTCAATATTCGATGGAATATTTGCAATTTCCCAATCTTTTTGGGTGTCGTCATCTTCGCTGTCAAAATCACTTGTCGCATTGTCGTCATTGAGATCAGTGAATCCAGTAAATGATAGAGAAATTGAGTCAGCACCACTAGAAATCTCTTCTAAGCTCTCTTTACGATCACCAATGATGTGCAGGATGTTTTGAATATTTTCCATGATATATGATGAGTGAATATTTGTTTTTGGAACATTCTGCATATATCCAAAGTAAGCAACATTGTAATTTAATTTTGAAATTTTCTTCCTAAATTGTTGTTCATTTAAGATCACTTTTATAAAGTCATTGGATGTAATTTTATACGGTAGTTTAACGTCTAAATAAAAGCTAAGTGAAACAATCAACTGAGCAATAAAAGTCAAAGCAGCTACAATACTATAAGCTTTATGAGTTAATCGTTCCATGCCTTCATCCGATTGTGCTGCATTATTTGTAGCATTATTCTTATTATGTGTCAGCCATCGACAGTATTCATAAAAGTAATTTCCATTTGATGGTAGACTTGGTCCATTGGCTATAACATACTCTTTGGTGAAATAGTCACTTCCGAGACTCTCATCATTTGTTGGAAGAATCGCATTTGCATCTTTGTCAATCTCATGCTGAAATGAATTTTTGCTGACTTTAACTGAGATTGGGAATATATACTCAATTAATTTCTCTACATTAATACGACGTAGATTCTTTAATTGCTCCATTTGTTCCTGACTCTTTTTCCTTAAAATGTCATTCTTCTCGACTGCAATCATCACATAATCGCCCAATTTATTGACCTTATCCTCATATTTTGGAAGAATTATTCTCATTGATCTATTTTTTTCGTGATTCTCTTTTTTCACTTCCTGCATTTTTTGAATACTCTCCTTCTTTTCCTTAATTAAATTAACTAAGAGAACATTTTGTTTACGACTTTTTAAAATGCCATTGCGCAAATTTTCGAGCTTCTTTAGCATGTGAAATTGCTTCGTAAATTGATTGTTCAATAAGAGCTGTGCATTCTTTAAGTTCTTCAATTTCTGCTGTTTGTCCACAAACCTAATTTTAATGATATTAGATTTAATTAAATTATACCTTACTGGATCTTGATTTTTAGCTTACCTCTCTTCTGAGTTTTTGTAAGAAAATAGACCTAAGCTGAGACATCTCGAACATATGATCTTAAACTTGTTGTTCATGCACAGTGTACATAAATAAGTATTGCTATTTTTATTGACTGGTTTTGTCTCTATTTCTGGACATGTCAAAGATAAATTTATCACTTAATATATACGAATTATTGCTTATTCAGAGGACTTACCAATCTGGAATCTGTCTGGAGGCGATTGTTCTGAATTATTACTCATTTTTTATGCCTTAATTTCTATTATTTATACGTCATAATATTACAACAAATTAAAAACTTTAGTTATACTATTAATTCTCTTATGATTAATGATCCTAAATCATTTACTATGATTTCATGGTTCACTCTTTAATTAAGTTATGTTTTCTAGCTGTTTAAACTATCGCTAGAGTAAGAATTTTAATAAATTAATAAAGACAACAAAAAAGGAAATCGATGTTGTTGTTGTTGTTGTTGTTGTTGTTGTGCGAAAACTTTCTTAATACAAAGAAAAGTTTGATTTCTACTAGGCTTTTGACTGTTTTGGCTAATCATTCTTGTAAACTTTTGAATTGTTTACTAATTTACAAAGTTAATTGATTATAATATGATCTAATTAAGGAGATTGTGAAAGTTTAATATTTTAGCACAGGATTTTGAAAATCTGTAACGGTCACTTTAATTTTAAATTTGTTGTAGACCAAGTTGAAAAAATATTCAAATTTTAAATTCCTCGATTTTACTTTAATTAACCATTTTTAAAGTATTAGAATACATTTATTTTAAATATAAAGTGCCAGTGCATCATACAAAATACAATATAGCAACTTAAAAGTGAAAAATAAAGGCAAAAAGTTAAATTTTTGGAATGTAAACAAAAAATGATCAAACTAGATCCAGTAAAAACATCGAAAGATCCAGGAAACAACACAACGGCAATTTTAAGCACCAACTTGTTGTGGATAATTTTGGAAAATTTTTCGTGACTTGAGACCATTCATTATTCTTAGTACAGAATGATTCTTATTAAAGTTATTAATATTTTGGAAATTTAGGTAATAATCTTGAAAATTCAGCAAGAAATGCCTAAATTAATTCAAGGAAAGTTGCTGATTTAAAGTAATATTTAATTTGCGTATCATAAAAATCTTAATTTGCGGATAGTTTCGGTAAAATTGACTCACATAACCAACGTAATAAAAACAAACAAAAGGAGAATAAACAAAAATGCAAAGCAATAAAGTGAGTAAGATTAAGCGAGAGGATCTGAGTGATCAAGAAGCTGAGTCAATAAATGGAGCATCAGTAGTGATAAAAAAGGAAAATTCCAAGCATCACAGTATGAGTGATTTATTCTACTTTGAACCTCAACAAAAGACGGCAGAGCCACTGACTTCAGAATTGAGTAAATATACAGCTATAAATAGCCATAAAATAATGTTTTTTAATAATTACACTTGCTATTTTAGATAACTCAGCGGACGAGTACAATAATATAGAAATCTTATGTCCAAAACCGGAATGTCGTGATACGGATATATTTAGTGATAGACAGTCATTCGAGCAACATTATAAAGGAACTCATAAGGACAAAGTAGTATTTGGATGTGTTGCATGCGATTATAGCTGCAAGAAGTATAACATGTTAAAGAATCATTTTAAGAAGCATATTTTAAAGAAATTTCAATGTAATCAGTGTATGGACACATTTCCTCAAAAGAGTCAATTAAACAGTCATAAAACCATAGAGCATAATTTAAGAGTCTGTAGATGTAAACAAGAATTTGATAGTATAGAGGCATACTTGGAGCACAAAAGTAAGGAATGTCGGAGTGTGATGAAGACTAAGCTTAATACATCAGGATCATTAGAATGTAAGGACTGTAAGAAAAATTTCACATCTTCCTCATCGCTTTTTACTCACCGAAAAATGCACAACGAACAGCCTAAATTCAAATGCCAAATTTGTCAGAAGGAATTTTTCCAAAAAATCAACTTAACTAACCATACCAAGACTCATAATGCTCAAAATAGGTCGTATAGCTGTGGAAAATGTGATAAAAAGTTCTTTGAACGATCTCATCTACAAAGGCATCAAAACTTCCATAACGTATGTTCTCATTATCTCCCTTAGTTCCAATTATTATTCTTATTAAGTTATTATTAATCATTCTCCAGATGTCAAGAGACTTCAAATGCACAGAGTGTGGAAAATTCTACAAAACTGAAAGATGCTTAAAAGTACACAAACAGGTTCATTCTGATAAGCGCCCATTTCGCTGTGATCTCTGTCATAAAGGCTTCCTATCATCAACAAAATTAAAACAACACACAAATGTACATTTCAATATAAGGCCCTTCCAATGCAAGCACTGCCCGCGTGATTTCACCAATTACCCGAATCTATTAAAGCACACGATTAGAAGGCATAAGGTATGCTGCAAAGCTATTTGGTATTTGTTTTAAATATTTAACTGTTGTTTTATTTTAGGTCGATCATCGAACCGGCAAGCCCATTGTAAAAATTCCAGACTATGTCACGAACAAAAAGAAGAAAAAGAATGAGATTGACATCCAAGAGAATTTCCAAGACTCTCCAATTCTTATGTCTGATGAAGGATTAAATGATCATGACATTAGCATTATCCACATATCAGATGAAGACTTTAGTCAACTGCCATTATCGCACACCAATTTTGATGATAATGAAGACTCAGCTATGCATAATTATAGTTCAATGATTCTAGACATTGATCAGGAATTTAGCGACTTTCAGTTATTAAGTCCTGAAAAGACCAACGATTGGAACAATATGATTGGTAAGGAATTGATTGATGATTATTGAACCAGCTGTAATTAAGACATTTATTTTGTGCTTTTTCGCAGATTTGTGAGCAGTAAAGACATTTCCCTAAGCTTATTTTTGTACGATAAGAAGACACTTTTTATATTTTTGATAAATAAAACTATGAATTTGTGATAAATTGTACATGACTGTGTAATGATGATGATGATGATGATCATTTTGTAGGAACAGAACAATCTAGTACTTTATGACTATGCCGAAAATTTGTAACTTTATTGTCAGTTTGTCTATAAGTGCAGGTCTGTCTTTTTCAATTGATGTTTATTAAATATTTAATAGATGCTACCGAATTGTTATCTGAATTAAGAGAAGAAATACGATGTTTGACTTTTAAACTATTGCAAAAATAATTTTCAAAATGTTTGGAATTATCTTTGATTTTAAGATTTAGCCTAAAACCAAGGATTAGTTTTTATCCATAGATTAATTTTAAATTCCCAGATTAACTTTCAAGATTCAACAACATTCAATGCTTCTGTCCATAGCAACAAGTGCGCTGCATACCTATACATCCATTGATACATCCCTTACGATCTAGAGTATTTAAGACACATACGTCCAATGAAATTTCAACAAATAGTAGATGATAACACGGAATCGACATGAAAGGACACAAGTCATTATTTTTAATTTTATTTATAGCCGAATTAGCATTAGCTCAGTATGATGGAACTGAGAATCTATTTCTTGGTAAGTGACTATATTCAACAAGTTGTCAAGTTATAAATGGCCAAATAATGAATTTATAGGTAATGTGGATGGAAAGATTGTAAAATGTTTAACGTGTGAACATACAGTTAAAGAAATTAAAGAAGCACAGGCAAAAGTCGATCCGAAAAAGAAAGCTGAAGTAAAGAGCGGTCGCTTTAATCCAGACGGAACTTTGTCAGGAACTTTAATAGAGTTAAGAAAGAGTGAACAATACCTGACTGAGCTATTTGAGGGCGACGATGGAATTTGCAAGACTATGGATGATTACGCAAAGGCTAAATATAAATCAGATGGTCGACTTGTCGTTTTAAAGATGTTTGTTGACGGAGCAATGGTAAGCTAAAGAAGACAATAAGAATGTCTATAAATAGCTGTACATTTACTCTCTTTTCTCTTTAATTACACGCCTTTTATTTAGAATCCACTCATGTCCGAAGTCGATTTTGTGCAAGATCAGGATCTTAACAAGTCCCTTAAACATTACTGCTTGGAAGTTCTGGATGAATTTGATGAAGTATTTTTAGAATATTTCATGGCTCCCAAATTGGCTGACGACGTTGTAGATCAAATTTGCACAGAAAGAACAAAATTGTGTAGCGTGAAGCAAGATGAAGAATATGAGGATGAAGAAGCCGACAGCTATTTACTTGAGAAGGAACTATAAGACTTAATTATACAAATTTCCATTCATAACATTCCAAAAACAAGACAAATAAACAAATTTCAATAATGGTGCTGGGTTAAATGCTTTCATCTAAATTACAACTTTACGGCTGTTATGAACACGTCATTCAATTCAATTAAGTAGACGTAAGACTTTTTGATAAGAGAAATAAAGTATAATACATAAATTTTTGATAAAGAAGAAAATAAAGGTTTTTTTTGATCATTTTGGAAATTCTGTGATTGCGTCAGTTGAGTGATTTACAGTCATTGTGAAAGTCTGTCATGCCAAAAAGAATTTTAAATGTTCATACCCTCAATATATACAGAACATATTATAATATTTTCTCTATTTCTTCGTGATCATGTATTAAGGCAAGCAAAAAAAAAGTATTTTTCAGATTTGTCTTGCAATCCGTCTGTGTGATTCACAGTCCCTGTATCTATTTTTGTAACTATTTATGTATGAGAGAAAGAAATAGAAGTAAATGAATGAGTTTGAAGATTTTTCACGTTTGTAAGTTTTTTTTCTTTCCTTTTTTTGTAAGAAAAAATTCCACATTGACACCTCTAGTTGATGTGTTTTGTGGATATACGGGTCGTTTGTGAATGACCTCAATGAAGTGGACTAAGACCTGATCTCAGAACCCCTTATGATCCTAATGCTCATAATTAATGTTTGTATAAATCCAGTCCACTCATAACATCTCGAATATACTTCTGAACCTCAATCTACAAACATTGGACAACATTGACAAAGAGTCCCACGAAGAAGGTTCGCAATAACAAGATCTTCTTAATTAATACAGATGGACACAGATGTGTGTAGGCGAAATTCCTAAACTGCACGCATTGCTTTTTGGATCTTTTCCATGCAGCATCAAGCTTCAAGTGGCATTTATAAAGAAAAATTTCATAGTCTGTGAACTTTTGATTCTGAATTTCCTTAGATAATTTTCATGTCCGTATCATCAGGAAGACTATGCTTTTTTGCTGTATTTTTTTAATAGAAGTGACTTTCTGATATGTTATGCATGTGATATATTTGTGGATATGAGGAACTTAATAGTTGGCTGAATTGCAAAAATAAATCTGTAATTAAATGTCACTACATGTAAGGACTGATCAATCATAAGAAGATATAGTTTATGTTTCATAGGAGGTCGGCTTCATTTAATTTATCTATAAACTGATGCTTGGTTGAAGCTACTAGATTTGAGATACAGGTATTGTTAAGCATGAATAAGATTTGAGAATTTCAGATGCAAGTTTCGATTCATTTAAGTTAAATAGATCGGAATAGGATGCAAAATACTGTTAAAGACGTTCAGTTATAATGTTTAAGATTTAAATAGTCAAATTGTCAATGAGGAGCAAGTTTAAGACTTATAAGTAAAGTTTTAGAACTATTTCAAGTTTTAAATAAAATTCATTTGATTTCTCTAATAATTCAGAAACTCTAAATAAGCTGTAAATTAAGGGAACTATTCTAAGTAAAGGGTCTTTAACTGTCATTGTGCGTAATAAATTTTGTAACTTCATCCTGAAAACCGGAGATTGAAAGATCCCATATTAGTTGATGCCTTTTGTAAATGATTCAAATGAATAAGCGTCGAGCAATGAAAAGTTGCAGATATAGCTGCTTTACCTTAAAGTCATTAAAAAATTTATCTCGAACATTTATTCTTATAAATTACAGAAGCTGCCTGTAAACTACATTGTTATACTTATTTTAAGTAAATTTCTAAAATTATTTGCTATGACAATTTCACATCCAGGATCACACAATCTTCATTTCATTACACCGACAAGTTTCCTTATAAGCATTTAAATAAATGAAGTGTAAATTGGTTTAAATCAAAATATATTGAAACAGTTCATTTCATTCAGTTCATAAAAATTGCTAAAAACAAATGCCAGCCACAAATTTATTATAGTGGGAGATGCTTTCTTGCTCAAAATATTTTTTCTTGTGGTTCGAGGAACCAAGTTTTTTTTTTTTTTTCTCATAAAAAAATTTTTTGGTATTTTTCTAGAAATTGATAAGAGCTCCGTTCCTGAGCAAGATTTTAAATTCTTTAGAGTAAGACAAATTTGAGATTACTTGAAACTTAAAGATCGTCGATAATTGGCTCTAGAAAATTCATTTCTCTATAGTAGTAGATCCCGGTAAATGTTAATTATTACTAAAAGCTATTGATAGCAATACAACCAGAATCCTGGTTCAAGGGATCTAAGAATCGTTTATTTGGTTTATTTTATTAACATCTTCAAAATTTGGAGGTAGATCTAGATTAAAAAATCGAATTTTCCTATCTCTATTGTTTAGTCTCAATCTCAAAACATTTCCATACCTATTTAAAAATAAAGAAATAAATATTTTCATATTCAAAAAATTAAATTCAGGACTTTGTTAAGATCAAGAATTATTAGATTTGAACCTTTTAATTAAAAATATACCCAACAATAAACATATAAACAATATTATTCGGCAGAAATCTCTAGAAGATTCAATTTTAACGAAATTCGTGTAATTTATTTTCATCTCGAAATTGTTAAATTTACGAAACAAAAAAGAGACTTTAAGCATTTTTTTGAGTTTTCCTGCTTAAAATTTGTATTTTAGATCAAAGTTGAATGATTTTTGTCACGAAAATGGCACAATAGAGAGAATATTTTTTTTTTTGGAAATGTAAGGTAAACTTATAATTAGCAGAAATTCTTCCACAATTCTTCATGATTAACACCTCATTCAACTTGTTCTGTAAACTTCAATTTTATATTTTGTAACAAAAACGACAGTAAAGAATGATGATAATCTCGGGTATTTTCTTCATGCAAGTTCACTAGATTCTTCATAAAAAGATGAAAATTTACAAAAAAAATTTATTTATATACACACATGACGATTATATTATTGGTGGTTTTATATATACATAATGTGTAATTTCAAGAATTTGCTCATCTTCCCATTTAATAAATGACTATATACATCCTATTTTAAGGTAATGTGTGTACTGTGCATATTTCAATGAAACAAAAAAAAACCTAATTAGACGTCATAATGTGATCAAAAGCGCATTTTCCTCAACATAGATTTTAGAATTTAAGTTTAAGATGAAAAATTGATTTTAAATTCTAACTTTAGAAGAAATTAAGAAATAACGGTATAAAATTATTTGAAACGTTGGTTGAACAATAGAGTTCAAAATTTGAACTTCTAATCTTGATTGACACTATGTGATCCACTTTGATCTATTAACTTCCGTTCCAACTCATTTTCTTGCAAGAAATTATGATTTCCCATTCAAAAATGATCTGCGAACCAATTACTCTTTTTAAAATTTTATCTTTCGACTAAATAGCGAAGGAGTTTAAAGTTGATGGTCAATTCTTGAACTTAACTTTCCAGCTACTTATATGTTAGATCTCTAGACTCATTCAAATATCTTGATCAATACACAGAATTAACTTTAACCAGATCAGAGATTGTACGAATTGTCCGACAAACATTGACTAATGGCATAATTTCTCTATTAGAAAATTGACTAAAATTAGGAAAGAATCTGACTAATTTTAAATTCTTTGAGTGATAAGTCTACGACATTCATGAAAATCGGAATCAATTGATTTTCACCCGAATGTATAGAACTTTTTCGATATCAAAAAAATCCTCAAATTTCAAAAGACAGGATTGAAAATGCCTCAATAAATACGTAAAATTATAAGACTTACAAAACATTCATTAATAAATATGAATAGAAATATAATTTTATTTTTTGTATACACGAACAAGAAAGAATTGAGCTGAAGCAATGCTGATCGTTCGGATGGATGCGAAGTGTTAACGAATGAAAGAAAAGAGACCTCGGCAGAAAATAATAATAGAGTGAATAATAGAAAACCGATGTGGTGTATATATAGCATCTGAGCCTACTAAAAAAGGAGTACATACGTGTAAATAACGAGAAATATTCGCTAGTAGACTTAAATACTATCGACTCAGATTTGACTTCAGTTGTTCTGGGGCCTTTGTGAAAACAAGTCGGAAAATAAAGAAATAATCTACAATGGTAAGTGACTGAGGGAATTATTATAAGTGCATACCTATAGTGAACAGTAAAATGAAGTTAATTTTGACATGTCTAAAGGAAATATGAAAATGAGAAAAATTATGAATTAATGGAAAATAAACTTGAATTAAGATGTTGATGATGAGATTAATAGCCTGAAGTGAATAAGTCAAGTGAATATAGCAGCACGGTGAAAAATGAAAAAGTTGTGAAAAATAAAATAAATTGCTTGAAGGAGACAGAAATTTACATAACATTTCAATTTGACATGCACTCGTTGCCACAAATGAGACTTTTCCGATTGAGACGTCGGTCCAAAATTCTCAGCAGACCGTTACGATCTTTTCCACATTTTGTGATGTGTGAGGATATTAAAGAAAATCAAGATTGCAAAGGCAAAGAAATGAAAAATTGATTGAATCATGCATGGAAAATGACGATTTCGTAATGATTTAATTACTTCTGTACTGTTAGAGTCGAATGGCTATTGTAAATCTCCATAAATGGATATTATGAAAAATCTAAAAATAACCGTAGAAACGTTTTTTAAAAATGATGAAAATAACATAAAGCGTTGCTTTAAAATTTTTAATCATTATTTTCAAAATTTAAATTTCCGTTGAAAAAGAAGTACAAGTGAGAAAATAAGTTTTAATACTGATCTGGGCAACATAAGATTTCATTGATGCTACACAGTTTAGAGTTGCATTCTTTTGACACCTCGAGTAAATGACGTCAACCGAAAATTGGTACTTAGACCCTCCCTCACCTAACCAAAAATACGTTAAAATTCGAGCTGTTTCTAAATCATAGACTGAAATTTAATCAGTAAGCGACACTTTTCAAGAGATTTCTTATTCTTAAGTTCCTTTAGTATTTCGATGCTTTGAAGAATTTAATACTAGTATCTTTGAAGATGAGAGATTTAAGTGTAGGTAGATCTAACCTGCAATTTTATTTGTGAGATGATTCTTGCACACATCCTTCACATTTGCTTCTTTGATGTTTCAGGAACAGATTTATCATCTGTTGATTCCTCTTAACAAGTTCCTTGTTACCGTACAATTAACATAATCTTTAGATCTTGTTTTCTCTTGCATAGCTTCCCTCCAAGTCATAGAGCAATTGAGTATAAGAACCACTTGATCATGTTATGAATCACAGCATCATATATTATCAGATCATAGAGATAATTTCACGAATGAATAAGAAGAAGTAGGAATTTTTTTAGGAGGTGGATGAAAAAGTCTATTTATAGGATGAAACCTTCAGCCCACATTCAAATGGATCGGACCATACAAAACATCGAAATATTATTGTTACATAAAGAAAATTCACACAAAAAAAGAAATAATTTTTCGGATTTCGCTATGATCGTTCGTCCAACACGCGCATCATGCTATTTTTAGAAATTGAGATTTTCTTTTTCACATTTCAATTATATACATCTACAATAGATTGCGTAAATTTTTCTCAGAAGCGCCGTGATGAAAAATTATTCGGGAGGTAAAGGAACGGTTATTAAATAATTTTCATACATGACACATTCTGTCATCTAAACGATGATTACTGTTCACTATGATTTAATGTATGTCAAATAAGTGAGGCGGGATATGAGTAATGACTCAGCCTGGATGGTTTAAAACTGTCAAACAACCACTAATTTACATTTTCTAATGCTAATTTATAGGCTGATAAGGAGAAGAAGATTAAGAAGAAGAAGGCAAAAGAAGAAGGCTCTGCAGCCGAATCAGCTGTAGAGACTGCTGCCGAAACCCCAGCCTCAGCAGCCACACCAGCATCAGAGTCACAGAGAGGATCAACTCGTGGTTCTGGCTCAAGAAGAGCCAAGAAAGCCCCATCCTCAGTTTTCGTCTTGTTCTCACAGAAGCAAATTGCTGAATTCAGTAAGTATTCATGCTACATAAACTCTATAGAATGTATATTAATGCTTCTAATCTCGTTTGACCCCAATAGAGGAAGCCTTCGCACTTATGGACAACGACAAAGATGGCGTTATTGGCAAAAGTGATCTTCGTTCAACATTTGATGCTTTAGGTAAACTCTGCTCAGACAAGGAATTAGATGAGATGTTGAGTGAAGCCCAAGGCCCACTTAACTTCACACAACTCCTTACACTCTTCGCCGAACGTATGTCAGGCGGTGGTGCTACCGACGATGATGAAACCGTTATTGCTGCATTCAAATCATTCGACAATGGACATGGTAAAATTGACAGTGAGAAATTACGTACCTCATTGATCAAATGGGGAGACAAATTCACAGAAGATGAGGTCGATGATGCTTATGACCAAATGGTTATTGATGATAAGGGTATGATTGATTCAGCAGCATTAATCACTATGTTAACTGGAAGCGAGGAAGGAGAAGAAGAAGAATAAACATTTTTATAAAGAAAACAAAACTATTTAAATCTCTATCAATCATAAAAACATACTTAACATGCAAAAAGTCTTTCTTTATGCAGCATAACGCGATGCTGTTGATGAAGCTTTTTTGTCAAATGGAATCTTTTCATAGAATTCACTTTACTAGTTTCAACACTAAACTCTTTTTCTATCTTTTTTAATTTTTTGCTTATTATGATTATTTTTTATTATTTATATGATATTTAATTTATTTTATTTGCCTTGAATTTTTCTTTTAATAATTCTTTTAAAAAAAGCCGTTAAAAAAGAAAACGAAGAAAGATATAACGTGTAGTCGTACATAAGCCTATAATTATTACGTTTGATGTTGAATGCAAATTTCTTTAGAAAAAATATCAGATACTATTTTATGGGAAAGAAAGATATGCAGAAAAATGTTTTTTAATATTAATTCTCTTTTTTTGAATCTTATTTAATTATTATTAACATTATTATGCATATATAATACATTGCAAAGCAATTTTTTTGGTTGTTGTTTTAATCGCATAAAAAAAAATGTTGAAACGCACACGACCATCCACCAAACACACATTTTTAAATAAGAATAGAGAGAGCACAAAATCCTGCAATTAAAACGCAATGAAAAAGTTGTTAATATTGATAATTATTAAGTCACAAATATGATTTCTTTATTTTGGCTAGATTGTGAAAAAAATATCCACAAGCAACTCAGAAAATAATTTGCACACACAAAACTTACGTTAAATTAAAAAAAAATTATTTTGAATGAAATAAAAAGCTAGAAGGAAAGGCCAAAGCTTTGTTTAGGCATAAGACATTATGAGTTAATTAAGATTTTTTTTTAAAATCACAAAAAAAATTTTCTTTTTTTTACTTTTCTAATTTGCTTACCTTCCTTACATTACTATCTGTCTTCACTTTCAGGTTGTTGCTTCACATCTCGAGAAATTCTTAGTGCTAATTATAGACTTATCCTCTAAATTCCTCTCTTCATTCAGTCATTTTGATCGCTTCGTCACAATTATTTCTTCATTGAATCTCTGCCTTTTTGCTTACTGCTTCTAATTTTAAAACTTTATTTGCTATTCTATCTCCTTACATGATGGCACGTCAACCATCTATTTTTCTGTGTCGATGATATTAATAGGAAAGAAGCTAATAGCTTGGTTGCATATGTTTCAGGCGAATAGAAATTGATCTATGCGTGTAGTACGCGATTCTCCGTATTTGATTTACGGAATTTTCTTTGAATTTCCGTTCGAAAATGATAATAAAAATAATGTGACATGGTGCGATGCACGTTGCGACGATTTGGAAGCACTTAGATTCCGATCAATAATAGAACCTATTGTACCTTACATTGTAGAGGAGACTTAGATAGTGTTAAGTTACTCCTGTATTCCAGAGCTTTTTATTAAATTCAATAAAGTTGAATACTTAGTCTTTTTAATTGTTGTTTCTACGAGCTCAAAACCTAGAAGATTCCTTTGATGTTCAGCAAATGCTTTTTTCCCTAGTAATCTGTGATAAGCAAAAAAAGCCTGCCCCTAAAGTTCGAACATAATAAGTGAACTAGGGGCGACCCTAGTCAAAATCAATTTTGTCACTTTTTTTCTTCGAGGGTTTATCCAAATGGATTAAAACTTTGCATAAATATTCTAGTGCTTAAAACAAATACAAAAATACATCTTAAAAGTTTTTTGAGCAAAGAACCAAGTAGGAAATACATTTTCAATTTTGGACTAGGGCCGACCCTAGTCAAAATCAATTTTGTCACTTTTTTCTTCGAGGGTTTATACAAATGGATTGAAACTTTGCATCAATATTCTAGTACTTAAAACAAATACAAAAAATTATCTTAAAAGTTTTTTAGGCAAAGAACCAAGTAGGAAATACATTTTCAATTTTGGATTTGGGGCGACCCTAGTCAAAATCAATTTTGTCACTTTTTTCTTCGAGGGTTTATCCAATTGGATTGAAACTTTGCATCAATATTCTAGTGCTTAAAAAAAATACAAAAAATCATCTTAAAAGTTTTTTAAGCAAAGAACCAAGTAGGAAATACATTTTCAATTTTGGATTTGGGGCGACCCTAGTCAAAATCAATTTTGTCACTTTTTTCTTCGAGGGTTTATCCAAATGGATTGAAACTTTGCATAAATATTCTAGTGCTTAAAACAAATACAAAAGCACACTTTTAAAGTTTTTTGAACAAAGAACCAAGTAGGAAATACATTTTCAATTTTGGACTAGGGCCGACCCTAGTCAAAATCAATTTTGTCACTTTTTTCTTCGAGGGTTTATCCAAATAAATTGAAACTTTGCATAAATATTCAAGTGCTTAAAACAAATACAAAAACACATTTTTAAAGTTTTTTGAGCAAAGAACCAAGTAGGAAATACATTTTCAATTTTGGACTAGGGCCGACCCTAGTCAAAATCAATTTTGTCACTTTTTTTCTTCTAGGGTTTATACAAATGGATTGAAACTTTGCATAAATATTCTGGTGCTTAAAACAAATACAAATAAAATATCCTGAAATTTTTTTGAGCAAAGAACCAAGTAGGAAATACATTTTCAATTTTGGACTAGGGCCGACCCTAGTCAAAATCAATTTTGTCACTTTTTTCTTCGAGGGTTTATCCAAATAAATTGAAACTTTGCATAAATATTTTAGTGCTTAAAACAAATACAAAAATACATCTTAAAAGTTTTTTAAGCAAAGAACCAAGTAGGAAATACATTTTCAATTTTGGACTAGGGCCGACCCTAGTCAAAATCAATTTTGTCACTTTTTTCTTCAAGGGTTTATCCAATTGGATTGAAACTTTGCATCAATATTCTAGTGCTTAAAAAAAATACAAAAAATCATCTTAAAAGTTTTTTAAGCAAAGAACCAAGTAGGAAATACATTTTCAATTTTGGATTTGGGGCGACCCTAGTCAAAATCAATTTTTTCACTTTTTTTTTCGAGGGTTTATCCAAATGGATTGAAACTTTGCATCAATATTCTAGTGCTTAAAACAAATACAGTGGTTTGTTCCCATCTTTTGGTTTGCTTTCGTTTGCTACTCTTTTTAAAAGAGCGTTGGGAACTATCACTTCTCGAGGGCGTTTTTCTGCTTTACTTGCTTCATTGAGAAACTTCTTTATTGATATTTGTTTTTTTGGTTTGAGATTTGTCATCTCAATGTCGGCTGCTTGTGAAACATCTTCACTGAAAATTTCCTCAATATTGAGAATTGTCACTGAAGATGAATGTTGTTGTTGAGAACTATTAAGTCCATGCTGATTTTGAGAAAGATTTTCTTCGTTGTTGGTAGTTTTTGGTGATGCTATCATTTTGATGTTTTGAGAATCAAACTGAGATTTTGAAACTTTTTGTAAACAAAAAGCTTCTCAGGTAGTCTCTGTTTTGTTTCTTTTGAGATTTTTGAATAATTTGCGGAGCGATTTGTAAACACGTCTGTTCACGTTGAGATCTAGTTTGCAACTGAATGGATTAAGACTTTGCATAAATATTCTAGTGCTTAAAACAAATACAAAAAAACATCTTAAAAGTTTTTTGAGCAAAGAACCGAGTAGGAAATACATTTTCAATTTTGGATTTGGGGCGACCCTAGTCAAAATCAATTTTGTCACTTTTTTCTTCGAGGGTTTATCCAAATGGATTGAAACTTTGCATAAATATTCTAGTGCTTAAAACAAACACAAAAAAACATCTTAAAAGTTTTTTGAGCAAAGAACCAAGTAGGAAATACATTTTCAATTTTGGATTTGGGGCGACCCTAGTCAAAATCAATTTTGTCACTTTTTTCTTCGAGGGTTTATCCAAATGGATTGAAACTTTGCATAAATATTCTAATGCTTATAACAAATACAAAAAAACATCTTAAAAGTTTTTTGAGCAAAGAACCAAGTAGGAAATACATTTTCAATTTTGGATTTGGGGCGACCCTAGTCAAAATCAATTTTGTCACTTTTTTCTATGAGGGTTTATTCAAATAGATTGAAACTTTGCATCAATATTCTGGTGCTTAAAACAAATACAAAAATACATTTTAAAAGTTTTTTGAGCAAATAATTAAGTAGGAAATACAGTTTCAATTTTGGATTTGGGGCGACCCTAGTCAAAATCAATTTTGTCACTTTTTTCTTCGAGGGTTTATCCAAATGGATTGAAACTTTGCATAAATATTCTAATGCTAAAAACAAATACAAAAAAAAACATCTTAAAAGTTTTTTAAGCAAAGAACCAAGAAGGAAATACATTTTCAATTTTGGACTAGGGCCGACCCTACTCAAAATCAATTTTGTCACTTTTTTCTTCGAGGGTTTATACAAATGTATTGAAACTTTGCACCAATATTCTAGTGCTTATAACAAATACAAAAAAACATCTTAAAAGTTTTTTGAGCAAAGAACCAAGTAGGAAATACATTTTCAATTTTGGATTTGGGGCGACCCTAGTCAAAATCAATTTTGTCACTTTTTTCTTCGAGGGTTTATACAAATGGATTGAAACTTTGCATCAATATTTTAGTGCTTAAAACAAATACAAAAAAACATCTTAAAAGTTTTTTGAGCAAAGAACCAAGTAGGAAATACATTTTCAATTTTGGATTTGGGGCGACCCTAGTCAAAATCAATTTTGTCACTTTTTTCTTCGAGGGTTTATACAAATGGATTGAAACTTTGCATCAATATTCTAGTGCTTAAAACAAATACAAAAAAACATCTTAAAAGTTTTTTAAGCAAAGAACCAAGTAGGAAATACAGTTTCAATTTTGGATTTGGGCCGACCCTAGTCAAAATCAATTTTGTCACTTTTTTCTTCAAGGGTTTATCCAATTGGATTGAAACTTTGCATCAATATTCTAGTGCTTAAAAAAAATACAAAAAATCATCTTAAAAGTTTTTTAAGCAAAGAACCAAGTAGGAAATACATTTTCAATTTTGGATTTGGGGCGACCCTAGTCAAAATCAATTTTTTCACTTTTTTTTTCGAGGGTTTATCCAAATGGATTGAAACTTTGCATCAATATTCTAGTGCTTAAAACAAATACAAAAAACGTCTCAAAAGTTTTTTGAGCAAAGAACCAAGTAGGAAATACATTTTCAATTTTGGATTTGGGGCGACCCTAGTCAAAATCAATTTTGTCACTTTTTTCTTCGAGGGTTTATACAAATGGATTGAAACTTTGCATCACTAGGGTCGTTCCTAGTCAAAAATGGAAAATGTATTTCCTACTTGGTTCTTTGCTCAAAAAAATTTTAAAATGTTTTATTTGTATTTGTTTTCAGCACTAGAATATTGATGCAAAGTTTCAATTTATTTGGATAAACCCTCGAAGAAAAAAGTGACAAAATTGATTTTGACTAGGGTCGGCCCAAATCCAAAATTTAAAATGTATTTCCTACTTGGTTCTTTGCTCAAAAAACTTTTAAGATGTATTTTTGTATTTGTTTTAAGCACTAGAATATTTATGCAAAGTTTCAATTTATTTGGATAAACCCTCGAAGAAAAAAGTGACAAAATTGATTTTGACTAGGGTCGGCCCTAGTCCAAAATTGAAAATGTATTTCCTACTTGGTTCTTTGCTCAAAAAACTTTTAAGATGTATTTTTTTGTATTTGTTTTTAGCATTAGAATATTTATGCAAAGTTTCAATCCATTTGGATAAACCCTCGAAGAAAAAAGTGACAAAATTGATTTTGACTAGGGTCGCCCCAAATCCAAAATTGAAAATGTATTTCCTACTTGGTTCTTTGCTCAAAAAACTTTTAAGATGTTTTTTTGTATTTGTTTTAAGCACTAAAATATTGATGCAAAGTTTCAATCCATTTGTA